CAGCTGTGAAGGGACATAGGAGCCTGACCCTGGAAGGGGGAGGGATAGCATGGGAGGTGGACAAAAGGGAGACTGGGGCTGGGAATTCACCATGGCAGCAGCAGGAGTAGAGTGCAAGGTAGATTGGTGTAAAGCCTAGGAGGAAGATGGATTCAAGGGAAATTGTTTCCTGCCAACAATGGGAAAGAAGGAAATAGGAGAAAGGGGCAGACCTCTAGCGGTTGAATCTCAGAGGGTGTGACCTCAAACTGATTCATATTTTTTCTGCCTTCTACTTACAGATAGAAAACTATAGTGACATGAGATCATAAGGTCATGGATTTAAAGCTAAGGAAGAGATCTTAGGGGGTCATCTAGTTTAACACTCACATTTGACAGATCAGCAGGAGGATAGGTGACTTATTTAAGGTCACACAGGCAGTTAGTGGAAGAGCTGGTGTTTACACTCAGATCTTCTGATTCTTTGACTCCAAAGCTAGCACTTTCTACAATACCGTACAGCCCTCATGGAGGAGAAACTCAAATGCCGTTGGGGCAGTGTATACATATGCGTACATATATTCATGTATGCCTAGCTATGGGTGAACTGATAATCACCTGCAATGCATAATTTAGGAAAGATCTCCTTGGATACACCTGTCCAAAAATAAAGCTTAAACCATTTCTGAGTTGAGGTTTCTATTATTGGAGTTATTCTCGGGTTAGTTTGGGAAGGTGAGTCTGTTATCTAAAGGAAGGTATTTAAATTTTTATTGATGCCTTTTGTTTTTATATGACATGTATTTCCAAATAAATCCTTACCCCTCCCCTTATAGCAAAGATTAAAAAGGAAAAACAACAGATAAGCAAAACATCAGCTACATTTAACAGTATGCAAAATGCCACACCCGTAGTCTTTACTTCTGTAGTGAAGGTAGGGAACTGTATTTTTCTCAGTTCTTCTGCAAGGCCGAGCTTGGTCATTATAATTATAATTTAAATATCCAGTTTCTTTTTCCTGTTCTTTCCATTTACATTGCTGTAGTTATTGTAGATAATTTTCCTGGTTCTGTTTACTTCACTCTTCATCAGTTCATATTATCTTCCCATATTTCTCCTGAATTCTTTAGAAAACTATTCCTAAAATACCCATGTCACCCAGAGAAAAGGGAGACATTCCAACCTTCTCCCATTACAGTCAACCACAGATTCTTTATGGATTCAGTAGTTATTACCTTAGACTAAGTCACAGAAAACTCAGTCCCAAGTAAATGGATTATGGGGCAGATAACTAAGAAGGCATTTTCAAGGAGTACAAAGATGGGAGAAAAGGTGGCCAAGAACATGTCAGTGACTTTGGAGTAGTACTTTAAAATAGGCAGTCTTGGACAGAAGAGGCAGATGAAACATTGAGTGTTGAAGTTATCAATGGTACCTGGTTAAGGAGAGAGAAATCTGGCTAGGGGGCCCTGTAGATTGTACCACAAAGGGATAGTTGCTCTGCTAAGCAATTCATCTATTCAGTATCCAGGAATACTGAAAAAAAAAAAGATATTTAAATTATAAATTAATTGTTAAAGAGGCCTCAAGGTGGCATAGTGAATAATGCAATTCAGGATCTAGAGTCAGGAATAGTTCGGACGCTTACTGGCTGTATGATCCTGGGCAAGTTACTTGACTTGTCTGCCTTGGTTTCCTCATCTGTAAAATAGGTATGATAACAAGGTGGTTATAGGATCAGATATTTTTTAAGCGCTTTGCTTAAAGCACTGTATAAATGCGAGCTATTAATTCATCTTTTTCAGCCACCTAGAGTTGAGTATTTGTCACGGGAGGCAGTTTTGTAATAATTGTTTGCAGTGCTAATGTTTTTCTTTCCTTTTAAACTGTGTGATTATGACACCAGAGCAGTGTTATTCTTAGGGTTCTTTCATGTTGAAATGTTTAAATATTCACATAGAACTTAGGCTAATTGACACCTGCCTTTTTTTTTCTTTTTTAAGGAAACTGAACTGAATGGGGGTGATGCTGCTTCATCCAAGACTGCTGGGCCTCCGAGACATCCGAATGAAAAGGAGCATGGTGCGCCCCTGGGAATCATACGCTCTGGATGACTAGACTTCGCTTTTGTGACTTCAGTAGCTTCAGGGGTGGGGTGGTGGCGGGCTTTTGTTCTTTTAGCACTACAAAGAAGATATCTTCAAGACTAAATAATATTACTGATACTTGAATGATCATTCTCAACTAGATGACACATAGCATATATAAAATTATCCCACCTTTGGACTTGAAGGACATTAAATTATTATTTTTTGGTAACATATTTACCTGATTATCTCCAGTGTAGAAATGCGAACTGCTTTTTCAGCACAGTGATAATGAGACCAGATTTTTGTTGGAATTTTATTTCGGTGGTTTGGTTATGAACTAATGGTGGGGATGGGAGTGGAGAGGAGTCCTGAACGTGCAAAAGGATGTGACTCAGGGGCAAAAACCTAGATGTCAAATGAAAATAAATTGGCTTCTTATCATAGTCACTAAATTACCATGGCAAAGGACACGTTGCCAAAGGAAGCTGTTTCAGAGTTCGCTTTGCGGACTGCACAGCGCTTCGTTATCCAAACAAACATTTGGGGGGCATTTAAAATCCTGATCTTTTTGGGCACCTTCCTTTACTACATAGGTGGGTTCCAGTGCTCCCCACCTGGCCAGAGTGGAAGCGACTTCCCCTGTACTCAGATCGTTTAGTTTCTAGAAACAGTTCAGGGGAGGTACATGTCCTGCATGATAGAAGTGATGAGTTGGGCTTGATGTTTCAGAGTATAGACTGATGCTGCAATGTACAAATAATAGTTTGATTCAAACACCCATTCCTATTCCTTGGTAATCACTTTCTTTAGGGAAAATATTAGTTTCTGCATGGGGTGCTTTGAAATAGAAAACAAAAACTTATTTATACTGGTTGGTTTTTTTTTTTAACAAAGTACAGAAAACTCATGACATAACAGCTGCTCAACAGATGATTTCAGTAATTCATGTTGCCATGAATAAATCACTTAACCTCTTAGTGCCTCAGTTTACCCACCTGGGGATAATATTTGCAATGTACCTAACCACAGGGATGTTGTGAAGATAATGTGAGATATTGGGCATCTGGCTGCCAATGATTAAACTATACCTCAAGTGACAGAAACTTTCAAAGGCACAGCAGTGTTTGGGTTCGAGGACAGAAGGATTTGGATTGGTGCCCTGGGAAGCCCTCCTTTGGGATTGATTACTTTTATGTACAAAATGATCCTAGTGACAGGAAAAGTCCTTGGCTCATTCTACAAGCATGTGCTTTTAAGAATCACTGATAAAAGTCATGGTGTCACATATTTACATCCTGAAAAATGATACCCGGCAGAGCAGAGCGCTGTACTGAGTACAGTGTATTTTTAATCAGAAAAATTAATCTAACCCTAATTCACAAGGATGGCCTTTTTCTAGAGGGAAAATATGTTTTTAAAAGGCATTGCCCAAGTCCTTTCTTTTCCTTACATATCCCTTACTAGCTTTTTCTTTTATCCCATCTGTGTGAAAGGGATTGATTGCTAACATCTGCCTAAGAAGCAAACAAGCAAAGATTACCTTAACTTTTTGAGAAAAAATAAAAGCAGATCATTGAACTGCATATGAAAAAAGATCAAATCTATATGGATGAAGTAGCTGTAAAACTTTATTTTCAAAAAGGGTAGTAAAAATTAGGGGCTTCTCTTAGTGTGATGGGGGACACAAATGACCTTTTTGGCTAGTTTAATCAGACTTCAGAATGTAAGCAGCTGTGATCAACTGCAGGTAGTCCAGGGGTTGTCATCTCTTTGGGATTAATACTTTCTATCCTGTCCCAAAATCTTATTTTGTAGTTTGAAAAGCACTTTGCACACAGCTCTTGTATATAAAAAACAAGATGTAATTTTAGGATTTAACGTTCATGCTTTGTTTAACAAAACCTGATTTTAAATTGACAATGGTATTTTTTTTAATGAAATATTTCTTCTCTTCAGTTGTTTATTGTAAAGCTGAGTACAAAATAAAAACAGTAATGAGAAATTACTTTGCCTATGTTCTTATAGTCTGAATTAGAATTCAGAGGATCAGTGAACAAGCATTTATTAAGTACCCACTGTGTACCTGGCTTTGTGCCTGGGCCTTGTAGAGAGAAAAGACAAAGAAACAGTCCCTGTCTTCAAGGAACATACATTCTACTGGGGAAATATAGTATGTACATGTAACTACATACAAAAGATATACAAAGTGATTGGGGGAGGGGGAAAGGCAAGTAAGGCCTTAGTTTTTGGGGACCAGAAAAGGCTTTGTGTGTGGTGAGCTGAGCCTGTAACGAACTGGAGAAAGGAGAGGAAGATTCAAAAAGGCAGAGGTGATTGAAGAGTACACTCCAGACACAGACTAGATGAAATGTGGCCAAGGTAATATCTGAGGGACCATAAAGGATGTGAAGAGAAGAGCAGTATGTCAAGGGAAAGTTTCTCTAGAATTGAGGAAGAACTACAATTTGTAAGGAGGCAGAAGGCAAAAGAGGCACAAATAGGAGGAACAGGAGAGAAAGCTGAGAAGCTCTAAGCATCTGATAAGGGTGAGTAAAATTCAACAAAAGCATTCACTACATGCAAGTCACTGTGCTGGGGCTACAGAGGTAAAAAGTTAGCATCCTCTCCCTCCAGCAGCAACCATCAAAGCACACACATCTTTTACTAACAACTTATGCTTCAGACAACTATCTCTAACAATACTTAAATGTAAAAAACAACAAAAAATGTTTAAGAACACAGCATTTAACGGTCTTCTCTATTAGCAGAGAATCTACATTCAGCCCTTCAAATTTGACATTCGCTTTTATCTTTTAACAAAGTGCACTAAGTTTCTGAACAAAGATGAATTTTTAAAATCTACATTTTAAATTTTAACACTGATTTTTAAAAAACCAGTACTTTCTCAGACTGATACATGAACTATTAAAATGTGTTACAATTAATTTTATTAGTCATTTTAGAGGTAGGCTTTCAATGTTGCTTATAAGTATTTTTTCTGAATCATTTTAGATAGACAAAATATCAAAACACTCTTAAAAGTTGTAAAAATACTACAAACGCAGAAGTCCAAAGTTTTTCAGCAACATTACTAAGCATAATACCTAGCTGTAACTGACCTAGGTTGGTAATGCATACTTCTCTTTTTCATTTCAAACTCCTCAAAAGAATTCCACTATGAAATGGAGGGAGTTTTCTGCTATGTTAGGACATAAATCTTGACAGTATATTTTAGACACAGACTCAAAGTACTGACCTTAAGAACAGGATTTTGTTACTAACCACATACAACCTAAATAACATTTAAGTACACCCACAATAAATTTTTCATTGAAAACAATTCTAGAAACTGGATACATTAAGAGCAGCAGATAAGGGGGAGGGAGGGAAATCAGGTTCACTCTCTCTAAAGTGATATTTCAGTTTTGCTAATACTTTAGCTTTTGTAAAGTGCAATAAAAATAAAGTGGAAAAAGGAAATCTGAAGATATGTACAATAATTTCTCAGATTAAGATAAACTATTGATTTTTGTAACCAGAAACAGATTGAAAAAATGCAAATTTAAAGACATACAGTAATCTCTTAGATGAAGATAAAACTAGTGATTTTACAAATTTGTATATCTGTAGTCACTATAAAACAAAAGCAAACTGATCCAAATTAACATGCAATTTTCCTTAAACTAGTGACCTAATCTGGTATTACAGAAAATATAAGCCCATTCTTATCACAAGGTTGATCAAATGGGACAGTTAGTTATCTTTTAATAATGCTATAAACTAAATCCTGATACAGTCAAATGCTGAGCATTGTTCCTGGCTTCAAAGTAGGAAGTGTCTGTTTCATCATCTGGTTGTGGTATGAAAGGCATTGTTTGATTCGGTAGATTCTCCCAGTCCACGTCCCTGAAGAGAGGATGCTGTTTCAGCTCTTGAAAAAAGAAAACAAAAACCCAAGTATAACATCATCACCAAAATTCTGCTTCACTCAAAGTGTTAAAACATTAAATAAACATGTCTCCCAATGATATTTTTCCTTATTGTGGCACACCCATTTCATAGAAGCGTAAAAGCATTATTCTATAATCAAGTTCTATAATCCTCCACATCACCTACCCCTTTGTCAAATGGGAAGGTAGAAAGTTAGGTAGCAACCTACCCTCCCTCTGATAGCCAATCATGGAACTTTTCTCCAACACAACTACATCCATCCTTGTGCCAACACTCCTTCCCTCTGGCCCCATTCTCCTCTGTATGAGTCCCACCCTCTCATCCCTTCTACAGGGCCCTCAGGGCCCAGATTACAGCCTATGTCAAGAACTTTGCAAATCTCAAAGTGAGTCAGACATTTCTCATATCCATCTATCTCCTCTCTATTCACAGGGGTCATGATCCTCATCATCTCCCACCTGAACTATTTCAAGAGCCTCCTAAAAATGGTTCTCATTTTCAATCTATCTTCCACTTGGCCACCGAGGTGAATTTCTGATTATGTCATTTTTCTACCCCAATTCTAATGGCTTTCCCAACTGACTCTACAATCAAATATTATTTCATCTTTGTCTCTTCCTTTTAATTTTCTATTTTTTGTGTTTTATTTTTATTTTTACTTTTGGAGGCAACTGGGGTTAAGTGACTTGCCCAGGGTAACACAGCTGGTATGTGCTTGAAACTGGATTTGAACTCAGGTCCTCTTGACTCCAGGGCACCATATCCACTGCACCATCTAGCTGCCCCCTCTTGTATAAATTTTACAACGTACATAATTATTAGTATAGTAATAGATGAATACAATCTTCAAATACGTAAATATACACAAGGGTTGTACATACACAAAAATTTTCTACTAACCATTCTATATGCTTAAATTAAAAATTGTAGAAAGGTTCCTTATGGTCCAATAATATTATTATTATTATATTCAAGTAGACTAATTGTTCAGCCATTCCTCAATTAATGGGAGTCTACTTTGTTTCTATTTTCTTGCTACCACAAAAAGTGCTACTATGACTATGAAGCAATATGACATAGTGAAAAGAAAGCTGGCCTGTGAGTGAGGAGGGCTGGGTTCAAATCTCATCTCAGACAAATACTGATTATGTGATCCTGGGCAGGTCACTTAACCTCTAAGGGCTCTAAGCGACTCTCTAGGAATCTAAAGTTGTGGAGGTGATAACCTCTATTGGTAAAGGAAATTGGGAAGACACAGAAAACTTCATTAGTTGCCAAACAAAAAGAAGCAAATAAACTAGAAAACAAATGACTACGAATTGGGCATTGGAAAAAAACCCCACTGAGGAAAGAAAAGAAGATTAGGATAAAGAGATACTATCACTTCAATATTTTTTTTTTAAAGTAGAAGGAATGGTGATTAAAAAAAAACAATATAGCATCGATAACATGCATTCAAAGAATCCAGATTATTAACTCAAATCTTTGAAAGAGTCGTTTCAACCAGGATTACTTCGGAAATTTGACTTCACAATTATGTTTGTCTCCAGCACTTAGCATAGCGTCTGACAAAGAGTAGGCATTTAATAAATGCTTGCTGACTGTCAGGGTGCCACTTTTTCAGACCGCGGGTGAAAATCAAAGCATCAAAATACAACCATTCTTGAAAAGGCAAATGCGCTGGCGAGAAAAGAACAGAGTTAGGCAGGGAGAGGGCACAGGACTAACTAACCCTGAGGCCGGGGGAAAGTGGAAGCTTTCCTCTTCTTCCTGTATTGGAGAGGTTCCTCCAGGAACAAGGAAGGCAGTTATGAAGAGAAGATCGTGCCATTACTACCTGGCAAATGCTCAAAGGTCTATTCATGGACTTTCTGCTGCACTGAAAGCTTAATGGTTACCAGCTAGCGCATCTCTAGGTAAAATCTGACACCCATTGAGACATTTTAGGTCTTATCAGTCAAGACTGCTCAGTAGAGCAATCTTCTTAGCTAAAGACCCCATTGCTATAAATGTTATCAGTCTTTGTTAGCAGTGCTGCCTTTCTGATTTTCATTGTCTTTGTTCTTCTGGTAATTGCTTTTTCTTGGCTTACTTTATGGTGACATAATCACATTTAGTACAATGAGGCTACACAAAAAGGCCTAAGAGCCCAACGCTAAAAGAATGGAAGCAGAGATGAGGCTGTATTTTCCCTCAGACTCTCACTAGTCAGGTGACCTTGGGCAAAGCACTTAACCTCTCAACCTGAGTTTCCTCATCTGTAAAATGGGGATAACAGCAACAGTCTCACAGGTTGTTGTAAAGGTCAAATGAACACTTTGCACACCTTAAAGCCCTATAAAAATGCCAGCTATAATTACTGTTGTTATCTTAGTCTAATCTCAGAAAAAGAAATTGAACAAGCCATAAATGAACTGTCAAAGAAAAAAAAATTCCAGAAGCAGATGAATTTATAAGTGAATTCTACCAAACAGTCAAAGAACAATTAATTCCAACATTATATAAAGTATTTGCAAAACTGGAAAAAAGGATTCTAGCAAATTCCTCCTATAATACAAATATGTTCTTGATATCTAAACCAGGAAGAAATAGAGAATGAAAGGTAGAGATCAATATTCCTAATGATTCAAAAAATTTTTAAAATAAAATATTAGTAAAGAGGTTACACATTAGTAAAGAAGCAACGTATGATGAAGATTAAACACTATGACCAGGTTGGATTTATGTCAAGAATGAAGGGTTGGTTAAATATTAGGAAAACTATAAACACAACAGACAACAGTAACAACAACAACGACAAAAATCATGTAACTACATGAACAGGTGCAAAAAAACCACCTTGTGACAAAATATAATGCCTACTTCTATTTTTTTAAAAAAGAGAGACAAAGAAATCTCATTCAAAGTTAACTACACAATACAAAAGATATTTTGTAGTTTCTCTACCAAGATAACACAGGGTAAACTATACAAATATAACTACAAAACACTCTTTATAGAAAATAAGGCAAATCTAATAACTGGGTGGACCAGACCAAAATACTAAAGATGAAAATACCTGTTAATTTAATTATTTAGTGTCCTGATAATCAAACTACCAATACACAGATATGATAGATAGATATCCTACTTCATAGGGATTTATCCCCTATGAACTATCAATAGATAGATAGTTTGATCATTTTTTAAATGCCTTTATTTAATGCAACTCACTTTTTAGAGTTAGAAAATATAACAAAATTCAGTTGGAGGAACAAAAGATCAAGAGTCTTAAGGGAAATAATGAAAAGAATAATGGGAAGAAAGAGGGCCTCAAATGAAAGCAGTAATTATCAAAACTACTTGGTGTTGGTTAAAAAAATAAGATTTCGATCAGTGGAACAGATTAGGTACATAATCTACTGAAGAAAAATAGAGTGTTTGATAAACCCAAACACCCTAATTTCTGGGGCAAGCACTCATTATTCTAAAGAACTGCAGGGAAAACTGGAAAACAGTCCAGCAGAAACTGGATTTACACTAAGACATCACACCATATAATGACATAAGTTCAAAATGGATATACATTCTAGACTCCAATGGTCACATTATAAACCAATTAGAGGAGCAAGTAAAGAAATATTATTTATACCTGTGGACAGAAGAAGAGTTGGTGACCAAACAAGGGATAGAGAGAACACACACAAAAAAATGCATAATTTTTCTTCAAAGAATTGAAAAAATTTTGAACAAATAAAATGCAGTTAAAATTAGAAGAGAAACAGTTAAGTAGGAAAAAAAATCTTTGTAGAAAAGTTCCTCTGATAGTGGTTTCATTTCCAAGATACGAAAAGAATTGATTCAAATACATAAGAATGACAGTAATTTTCCAACAGATAAATGACAGATAAAGAATAGACGACAGATAAAAACAAAGGAATGAACTTGGCAGTTCTTAAAGGAAAAAAATCCAAAGTATGGAAAAATACTTGAAATCACTAACAAGAGAAATGTTCATTAAAACTATTAGGTTTCACACCTCTCAACCATCAGATTAGGAAAGATGACAAAAAAGGAAAATGACAACTGTTGGAAAAGTATTAATATGCTATTGGTGGAGCTATGAAGTGGTCCAGTTGTTCTGGAAAACTATCTTAAATTATACCTAAAAAAATCACTTAACCATGTATACATTTTGATCCAGAAGTATGACTACTAACAAAGGGATCAAAGAAAGAAGTAAGGACCCCATACATACAAAAATATTTCTAGCAGCTTTTTTTGTAGTAAAAAATGGACAAGAGACTAAAAGGTAGTCCATTGATTGGGGAATGGTTGAATAAATTATGGTATGTCGCATTAAAAAATTAATTTTAATTAAGAAACGACAAATGGGATGGTTTCAAATTTGGATGACTTATATGAACTGATGCAGAGTAAAGTGAACAGAATCTAGAGAATGATTTGTACGATAGCAACACTGTAAAGAAGAAAGATTTGACTCTGATCAATGCAATGACAAAATATGCTTCCAAAGAACTAGAGATGAAACGTTTTATTCACCTCTTGACAGAGAGGTGATGAACTCAAGATGCAAAATCAAAGATCTACTTACGGACACTGTCCATGTGGGGATTTGTTGTACTTAACTATGTATATCTGATACAAAAGTTTTATTTTTCTTTCAATTTGCAGCTAGGAATAAGGTCACCAAATGGAAAAAGAACAGTAAGTATTAAACACACACACACACACACACACACACACACAGATAACAGATCACTAAGAACACAGATAACAAATTGATCAGGTCTGAGTTTATATATACTTAAGAAAAACAATTTGTTCATAACATAGATTTACAACTTCATGGACAATTCTACTTTTTATAAGGAAATATTCATTTTATTTGGCATTGGTTGAATTCAGAATTTTTAAAAGAAAGAAAAAGAAAAGCAACTGAAGCGCAATATTTCTACGATCAATATACATGATCTTTTCAACACTCTAACACCCAGTACTTTGAACAACGCATTAGACTATAAATCTTTTTGGGAGGTCTGGTGTATCAATTCTTGGTTCTTCTTTAATGTGAGGTGCAATGGCTCAATTCTTCAAAAAGTGATATGTACAAAGAATTATTATTCTGTAAAGACCAGTCTTCCTCAGAAGACTGGAAAGATAAAGCATGGACTGACTGCATAGTGACTTCCATATTTTGTAGGTGCTTAATGCAGCTATTAAGTTCAAGTTGGTGAAATGTAGCATGCAGAGTCAAAAAGTTTTTAAAGTCTAAAGCCTACAGAGCTTCTGAGGGCTCCCTTTATCTCTTTCTAAAAAATATTTTTCAATTAATAAGCACATATTCTTTCTTGTCCACCTCCCACCCCTATTTAAAAAATAGAAAAACATCCTTGTAACAAATGCATAGTCAAGAAAAACAAATTCCCACACTGGCCTAAACATAAATGCATCATCTGCCACCCTGGAAGTGAGCGCGCTTCATCACTGGTCCTCTGGGACTGTGTCTAGTCACTGCATCAATCAGAGTTCTTACATCTTTCAAAGTGGTTTGTTTTTACAACACTGTTGCTACTATATACATTATTTTCCTGGTTCTGTTTGCTCCATTCTACATCAGTTCAAATAATTCTTCTGCATTTCTTTGAAGCCATCCTTTTCATCTTTTCTTATGTCATACAAGTACTCCGTTGCCTTCACCTATCATAATTTTTTCATCTATTTCACAACTGACGTACATCCCACCTCTTAGTTTCTAGGGTTTCTTTGTTGTTGTTGTTGTTTTGGGTTTTTTTGCCTCTACAAAACCAAACAAAAACCACTGCTAAAAATACTTTTGTCATGTAGGTCCTTTTCCTTTTTATTTGATCTCTTTCTGGGTATAAACCTAGTAGTGGTTTTAACTGGGTCAAAATATATGTAGTTAAACTTTGGGGCATAAAATTCCAAACTGCCTTTGAGAATTGTTAGAACAATCGGAAATACCCCTGATGTGGATTAATTATGTCTTCCCTTTCACAACTTCTTTGACATTAACTATTTTCATTTTTTGCCAATTTGCTGAGTGTAAAGTGTACCTGCAGGATTGTTTGTTTGTTTTTTGGTTTTTAGGCAATTGGGGTTAAGTGACTTGCCCAGGGTCACACAGCTAGTAAGTGTCAAGTGTCTGGTCTGAGGCCATATCCACTGCGCCACCTAGCTGCCCCCCTGCAGAATTGTTTTAAATCACATTTCTCTTATTATTAGTGATCTGAAGCAAATCCAAATTGGTTAACTACTCGCAATTCTTCTTTCCTAATCTGTTTGCTCATATCCTTTGGTCACATCCACAGGAATTGCTGTTTGATATAACATTTATCTATGTTAATTCCTTATCTTGAATATTGGACATTAACAGAAATGAAATCAAAATCTTTAAAAAATGAGATGCAGAACTTAATCAGAGAAACACATTTCATAAACTAAGGGACAGACAACATAAAAGGAAAAAACTGAGGTTAAAAACAAAGGCATCAATAAAACTTAAAATGATACCTAACCTCACCTTTCAGTCCAGCTCTTTTTGAACTATCTATTGTTAAAAGGACTTCTATTGCACTCTGACAATTATCAGACAATTTTTCCTCATTTTCAGGCCAAGGAATATCTACAAATATAAATACATATACAAGTTTGTCAATTGTTGCTCAAATAAAACAAATTTGTAAAACAGGTCTTAATAGAAAAAAAAATTACCCCTTTTCAGAATATTCTGGAATACATGCTGTGGTGTTTCATCATTGAAGGGTGGAATTCCTGTTAGAAACTCAAATAAGCAAACTCCAAGAGCCCACCAATCTACTGCTGGACCTGAAATTAAAGAGAAAGTAGCTGAAATTGTAGAGTCATTTTCCAAGGTCAAAGTATGACTCTTCTTGAATAATTCTCCTTTAATGCTTCCTTTCCTATCTTCTAAGAGATTTGAGTTTATCTATATCACAGAATGAGCCAAAGAAAAGGTATTTCTTGGTTGGCATTAATTTCATCATTTATATTAACATTATTTATACTTGTAATATGGCATCTTTTATGTGAAATTTAAAGAGTTTGATGAAGCGACTGAGAATAAAAAAATCATTTAAGAAATAAGAATTACATCTTGATCTACCGCTTCCCATTCTAGCACCGGGCAGCTTACTCCGTTATTTACTTTTTATGTTCTTATATGTTATTTATGTCTTTTTCCTGAATACAGTAATGATTAAAATCTTAGCACACAACCAAAATAAAGATAGGATAATAAAAATAAGTTTCTTCCTAAGATTGTTTCTCTATTTAAATAGTCAAATAACGTGTCATTATTCCAATATTGATTTAGGTAAGGTAGTTAAAAATGAAGCAACCTCTGATTTGATGTGCTCGTGTTCTTTTCATTTTTTTTTTTTTTTGCTTTTTGGTGAGGCAATCAGGGTTAAGTGTCTTGCCCAGGGTCACACAGCTAGTAAGAGTCAAGTGCCTGAGGCCAACTTGAACTCAGATCCTCCTGACTCCAAGGCTGGAGCTCTATCCACTGCACCACCTAGCTGCCTCTAATGTTCTTTTAATGGCAAAGCTAGCTAACTCTAAATCATCTTTAATAATCTGCTGTTTCAATTTAATGTAATTTTATTTTGCAACAAAATCCTTTTACTTTGGGCCAATTTATAGGAAGTCAAAATGTGGATTTTTTTCAAGTGTAGTTTCTACTTTTAATTACATATAGTAATCTAAATTAGGCTACTAACACATTCATTCAGACTATGGCTTTAAGTACTGTTGCTGTCCAGTCATTTTTCAGTTTTGTCAACTCTTCATGACCCCATTTGTGGTTTCTTGGCAAAGATACTGGAGTGGTTTGCCATTTCCTCCTCCATCTCATTTTTCAGATGAGGAACAGAGGCAAACAGAGTAAAGTGACTTGCCCAGAGTCACACAATCTGGGATCACATTTGAACTCAGGAAGATGAACCTTCCTGACTCAAGGCCTAGCATTCTCCACTCTACTCTCCATAAGCTGCCCTTAGTAAGTACTGAGGGGATCTATTTTAATGGATAAGCTGATTTTTACATAGTATGTAAACTGTGTGCAGATAAGTGGATGCTTTTAATGTACATAAAAAGTTATTTGGGGGGCAGCTAGGTGATGCAGTGAATACAGCATCGGTCCTGATGTTAGGAGGACCTGAGTTCAAATCCGGCCTCGAACCAAACACTTGACACTTACTAGCTGTGTGGGGCAAGTCACTTAACCCCAAGTGCCTAAAAGTTTAAAAAAAAAGTTATTTGGATAAATATTTCAAATAACAATAGCAAAACATGCTTTTGACTTGGTCTATATTTGAAGAAGTCTGCTAAATAAAATAAACTTTGGCCCAGGCCCTATCTTAATTAGTTCTATGTAGGAATTCTAATGTACTACAGTGTTAAGACACACAAAGATTAATTTATTTAAATTAATCAGAAGATAATTTCAAAAAAATCTATAGTTTTAGTCAAGCAACTGCCACCATTTTATTATAAAAGCAGGCAAAGCAGTATGGAATGTGCCAATAGGGTGAAAAAAGTATGTAATTTAGAATACTTTTGCACCTATAATACATAATAATACCTTCTCCCTAAAGCACACAAAATATAGATACTTGGTAAGCTTTGGTTTCCTTTGGCTTCAGAAAAGCACAAGTCCTCTAAGTCTTAAGAGAATTAGTAAACCACGTAAAAAAAAACATTTAAAAATTTGCTTCTGTAGTTTTGAGTCTTTAAAAATATTTTAGGCAAGTGAAGCTTCATTACATTGAAATAAGAATAGGAAGCCTAGAGAAAGCACATTTTTAGTTTTTTAAAGACAGAAATTAAAGCCCCTTTCCCAGCTAAGCCCAAATGCACTTACCCCAAGAATAAATACAAGGATGTTTACAAACATATGCCATATATGCACATATACTTTAGTCAAAGTCTAATAAGATCACAAGTTTGAAAAAGGACAATAAATGCTGTATTTAGAATACATTAAGTCATCCAGATAAATAGGGAGAATAACTTTCTGGTTTATAAAACCTGGATGCTAAGACAAAACCCATTTCTAAAATCAGAAATGATAAAATGAAATGTGAATTCTTGTCCATTCCTATTTTTGAGTAGTAATGGAATCAAAGTGGATCTAGAATAATTTCTGAACTTCTCATTCCAGCTCGTCTGTCAGGTGCTCCCTTTATTACAAAGTGAGAGACTCCATGTTATTACTGTAACGTACTCATACTTCTCTCCACAGAAGATGAATCTTGCCATCATGGTCCTATCTAGATGCCTTACTACTCCTGGAACAGTAAGGTAGTTGACTTATATACTTGAAAATCAAATTTTGAAAAAATCTCCTAAGTAATATGATCTAGTTATACTTTGACTGTTCTGTGTAGTCAAATAAATTTTGCAGAAAGTTCACTCACCAGAAGTCACAAATCCTGCATATAAGAGAACAGCAATTAGGCACAGCAATTACAAATCCTGAATAACACTCTAAAAGTGTTCATGAGAAAGACTTCAATCCCTGTTCATCCCTTCTGCCACATTGGTATCAGTATCTAATACGGTGTGGCAAAGTGGATAGAGCACTGGGCTTAGAGCCAGGAAGACCTGAGGTCAGATTAAGCCACAGATACTTACTAGCTATATGACCCTGGGCAAGTCATTTAACCTGTTTGCCTCAGTTTCCTCATCTATACAGAGGGGATTAATAAGAACATCTGCCTCAGGGCAACTAAGCGGCACAGTGGATAGAGCACCAGCCCTGGAGTCAGGAGGACTTGAGTTCAAATTCAGCCTGAGACACATAACACTCACTAGCTGTGTGACTCTGGGCAAGTCACTTAACCCCAACTGCCTCACCAAAAAGCAAACAAACAAACAAACAAAAACAACTAGCTCTGGCAGTTGTTATGAGGATCAAATGAGATAATAATGGCAAAGTGCTTAGCACAGTGCCTGGCACATAATAAGCGCTACATAAATGTTAGCTATTACTATTATTATTACCAAACATTTACTTGCTAGAATCAGTCAATTGTTCCCTGAAATATAAATGATGTTAATCAATTAATTTTGTTATTTTAATAGATTAAATATAAACAAATGTTTCGTAAATCATTTTCCAATATAAAAAGAAAGTAATGAACCAACACCCTAATGGTTACAGTTAAGATAATTAGAAACGCTACTAAAAATAGGATCTTGCAAAGTTACTCCTTAAACCTGGAATTTAAAAACCAATTCTTACTTTTATAATGTGATATGGAGAGGCAGCTTTTTGAGGTCAACCATGGAGTACCAACTAGGACTGAATCAAAGACTTGGGCCTGTATTCACAGCCCATGCCTGCACTGAAAGGAAAAGGGAAGGGAACAAGCGTCTACTTAGCACCTACTATGTGCCAGGCACTGTGCTAATTAAGTGCTTTACAAATAATATCTTGTTGGATCCTCACAAGGAGCTGGGGAGGTCAGTGCTGTTATCATCCTTTTACAGCTGAGGAAAGTGAGGCAGAAATTGGTTCAGTGTCTCATCCAGGGTCACCCGGCCCAGCAGTCAGGTCCAAAAACCGCTGGAACAAGGGGCTAGGTGAACTCGATTCTTAGCCCTGGCTCTCTCGTCCTGGGCAAAGACTCATTTGGTCTGGAGAGGCCTCAGTCTCCTTATACATAAAATGGGGGATTATTCTTGATCACCTCTCCAAAGTTCTTTCTAGCTCCAATCACAAATTAATTTAGTCTAAGAACTTTTTATCTAAAATCACAGGATCCTAGAACTACAGCTGTAAATGAATTTGGATGTCATCTTGTCCCTTTTAGAGCTGAGACTGAGACCAAGAGAAAAGTCCCGTGCCTGACATCACCCAGGTGTGTACCCTTTACAGGCTGAACTCTTATTATGCAGCTCAACCCCAAAGCAGAATGAAATAACTTTATCTTAAAACACAAACACGTAATAACAAACACTTCAATAACTAAGTTTTTGTATCCTACCATGAGAACTGCTCAACAGCAACTCAGGTGCCAAGTAGTCAGGGGTTCCAAGAATTCGCCCACCATCCACTGGGGCTGCTCCTCTTCTCACACTCTTTGGGGTTCGGTATGGAGTCCCTGACTTTGCCTGACGTGGAGTCTGCTACAACAGTTTAAAAGTCATAAGAAAAGTCTTTAATTTTTTAATATTTAAATATCATAGGACTTTGCCACCCCAAGGGGAATGAAAGTCGCTAAGTTACAGCCTATTAGACATATAACACGTACTTGATAAATATTTGATTATGTGAAATTACAATTGTTAAAGTACATTTTTTCTCCTGAAAATGGAATTATAACAGGGCATAATTCTGAAGACTTTCATAACAGTCAATAAACAATAATCCTGGGGGGAAAAAAGGATATTCAATGAATTGCCAGACTTTTAGGATTTTATTGCAAAAAGACCTGAAATCAACATAAAATTTGACATACAAGATTCAAGAGAAATATCAGGTAAACATCAGAGACTAATTACAAGGGGCTCAATTAGGACAGACATATGTCTAAAACTGTTATTAGTAATTGGGTAGTTCAAAAGAGAGATTGTGGTAGAGCTGAGTATGATGTCATACTAAAAAGTAAACCATCTAGGAAAAGGTAAAAAGAGTAATTATTTTATACAAATGAGGTGCGAGAGGATATAAAAATATATCCATGCTTAATTGTAGCCTTCTTGGGGGGGGGGAACGGGGAAGAAAAGAACAAAGTGCTTTGTAAAATGCAAAACACTACGTACGTAGATTTAAGTAGCAATACTAAGGTAACATAGTCTACACACACTAAGGAGATTTAGATCTGTAGGAGCAAAAGCAACATGCTTGAAAATTAACTTCTAGACAACAGGAACTGATTAAAATACTAGGACTCATTAAAAAGGAAGACAAAAAGAGTTATGAAGGCAATAGAATAATTAGAAATAAGAAGGTATAAATAACCTCTTACACTTATATGGTGGTGTACAACTTGACAGGTATTTTCTTAGTACTTTCACATGAATTATCTCATTTGCTCTTTGTAACACAATACCCTCATGAAACAGTTAGGTTATTATCGCTTATTAAGCTACACTGTATTGCCTCTTAAAAAAGGGGGAAAATGAGTCTGTAAATAAAGAGATTGTCAGGAAATGAGTATTTTTAAAAGAATTTATATTTATGAATTGAATTTTTGTAATGGAAAGAGAGCCTGTATTTGAAAAAGAATCAGGGCAGCTAGGTAGTGCAGTGGATAGAGCACAGGCCCCAAAGTCAGTAGTACCTGAGTTCAGACACTTAATAGCTGTGTGACCCTGACTAAGTCACTTAACCCTGATTGCCTCCAAAAAAAAGGAAAAAAATAATCAAAATACCCAGTATACAAAGTATGCACAGTTATTGCTGCTGTTTGTCCTTTGTTTTCAAAGAGGACCAATGACGTCACAGTGTGATGTCTTAACCTGCATGTGAATTGGATTTAAATAAGGCAAAGTTGCACAAAGTCATTAGCTGCACTCTCTCTTTACAGAACAAACTGTTGTCATTCACCCATCCCAGTGCGGGAAGTCTTCACACGCTCGGGGTAGGCACCCTCCTAACTCACTAATGAGTCTGAAGCCTGATGGTCACCCTCAACCTGGTTCAGCCCATCAGCCAAGATGGTTTTATGGGGGTGTGGCCACTGAACACACGACAGCTTCCCACGGGTAAGAGCTGGCTGAGGGTGGACACCAAAGGTGCGTGAGCAGCCCTGAAAAGGGCTCAGCTGGCCCTCACATCGGAGGAGCTAGTCCTCCCTGAACACCTCATATGTGAAACAACAACGGGGTAGGAATCAGAATACCTGGATCATAATCTAGTCCTAGGTGTAATACAGATTCACATTGGAAAAGTAACTTAGGATCTCTATATTTAAGTTTCTTCATCCAGAAAATGAGAATAGTACTTACCTCATAGAATTATATCACTCAAATGAAAGAAGTCATATGAAAACACTCTGAAAGTACTGTGTTATGCAAACATTAGGTAGAATTCTTACATGCTTTATGAGGTAAATACTTTTTGCAATTAAAAGGTAAAATTCCATTAGAAAAATTAGATGCATACCTGATATGCCAAAGATGACTTCTCTTTCTGAGCAGGGGTAATGACATGGGATAAGAACCAGTATAAGCATAAGAAATGTCCATTCTTTCCAAAGAAGGAATACTAACTTTTGATGGTTCAGATGCATTGGATGTATTTATTTGACTGTTATAACTTCGAAAAGCGACAGCATTTTTCTTAAATAGATTTAATGCTTTTACCACCTCGGATGAGGAAGGGGCTAGCATGCTATAAAGTTTAGCATCCTGGATGTCCTCTCTGGGCAAGTTATTTTCCTGACAGCTTGGTGATATGGTCAGTAGGTCTTCAATTTTTGATTCTTCAAAAGAGAATTCTTTAATACTTTTATCTGATCCAAGGAGGGGTTTTCTAAAGAGCTTTCAACAACAGACATTCCAGGGAAAGATGTATCAGACTCCATACATATACTTTTCTGAGCTCTATCATCATCAGAATATAGAAAACTAGAACCCAAAGACTCTCTCTTACTGTTTTTTTCACAGTCTTCCTCTAGTTCACACATAAGATTTTTCTCTATCATTTCAGTAACTGATGTTTCTGCTGTCTGTTGCTCACAAACAGAACTGCTGACAATATTCTCCTTGTTATCACAGTCAACTTGATGGCTTCTGTCCCCAGATAGCATAAGGCAGTGGATGTCAGATGTCAAACCTGTATCTTGTTTTGAATAAAAATCAATGGTATAACCACGTCTATACTCTGAACTGTTTTTTTTGTTCTGAATAATCTCCTCACAGGGACTAGAGTCAACTAATTTAAAGCTCCTCTTTAAGCCTTTTTTCCCTTCAAGATCCTCAATTACATCACCTTTGCCAGGATCCACTAAAAAATGATGTGGCTGCTGGAAACCAAGCTCTACAGTCTCAGTACTCATACAATCTTTATTTACTGAAAGTTCTTTTGCTTCCCAAACTTTATTTTCAGAAAGGCATTTTCTAACAAGATTTTTGGCTTCTGATGTAATTGATGAAGCAGTTCCGACATCAGCAGGTATGAAACCATTACTAACACCAATTGGAGAAATAGCTGACTCAAGATCCTTCTTCTTTAAACTTTTGGTTTCTTTAGCATTCACAAGTTTAGCACTTGAAGGCTTTTCCACTGCATCAATACTCATTTTCATAGATACAGAACCAAGTGCACCATCACTTTCCTAAAGAAAAAAAATTACAATTTAATAATTCCACCCCAGCTTTTGACAAATTATTTCATTTATTCCATTCAAACAGACTTTCAGAAACTATTGTTAATCATCTATTACATATTAGCACTATGCTAAGCTTTGAGGGGGATTCAAAGTCACGAAGGTTGATTCCTTTCTTTAGGGAGCTTACAATTTAGCAGGAAACAACACACATACATAAAGATGTGCAAATCACTTAAAAACTATAGTGCAGAAAATGAATAGTCATCTCACAAGAGTTCAGTGTGCTTTGTACGATTAGAGCAAGGAAAGATGATTCCCAAGTAGAAGGAGATCAGGAAAGACTTTCTGAGAATTAGCATTTGAGCTGGGCCTTGGAGGACGGTAGGATTTCAAAATTTAAAAGGGGAATAGGAGTTGAGGGGGCAAATGGTGTATCAGACACAGGAAATGGAATGAGCCAAGGCAGAGAAAATAAAGTGTTCAATGTACCTAACTGACAGCAAGGAGAACAGTATGGATAAACAGAGGACATATGGAGGGGGTAATAAGATAAGGAAAAGAAAGAGACACAAGGTTGCAGACAGCTAAGTCAGGCTAACACATCTGCCAAGCAACAGGAAATCACTGAAGGATTTTAAACAGAAGATCTATGCAAAAGAAAGATTAACCAGGCAGTGTGAAAGAAATTAAAGGGCAGAGAAGCTAGAGGCAGGCTGCAGCATCCACCACAACAACTAATGACTTCAAGAATACTTTAGTACTGAGAATGAGGAAAAAAGAGCAAGCAAATAATTTAATTAAGTGGGAAACTTTCCAAATAATACCACTATATAGGATGGAGATAAGGGCTGGACCTATTACATTACTGGTAGAGAGAACTCTTGGGTGAACACATTCTCTCCTCCAATTCAGGATCAGTATTTTCTCTGTACCTTAGTCCTAGAGCTGTAGAGCACTGAGAAGTTAAGTGACCTTCCAAGGGGCCAGTGTGTGTCCAAGGTAGGACTGGAAGCCAGCGCTCTATCCATTATGCCAGGCTGACCTTGTATAATACCATTATGACAAGATTAAATCAACTTGCGGGTAAGTACAAAGCTATTGCAACATTTTATCACTTATCTTTTACATTTATTGCTTTGAAGTGGAGCTGTGATTTTATCAATGGAGGGAATTCCTGGTGAAGAAACGGCTTCCTTACCAATTCAGATCACCACATGCTCTGTAAGTTGCATTTCTTCAGACAGTTAGGGGAGGTACTAAAAGGTTATTCAATTTGCCCAAGCACGCAGCCAGTATGATGAGACAAAGACAATACCTGAACTGAGGTCTTCCTGACTCAAAGCTGGCTCTCTATCCATGCTGGTGAATGGTGGTGACTATAGTCTGCCTCTCATGAGGTAGTCTTAAAGATTATTATCAATTTTAATTCCACTTTACTAAAATTCAGACTTAATACCTAAACATGTAAATTAATGTAAAATAAAGTTGAAAAATAATCTTGCTAAATAGTTCTCCTAAATTTTTTTAAAAGTATAGCTGCATTAAATTAGTGGTTGACAGCCCTCTAGGCTAGAAAAAGTGACCACTGTACTAAGTATGTAGAATTAGCTTCCTCTTAATAAGCTTTGTCTATTGAGGGTAAAGATTCTCATTGTTTTAGCTTCTCATGGCTTGCTGATTTGTTTTTTTCTGTTACGATGAAAGAAAATCCCATTACTACCTACAGCTCTTATACTTCTGGCAACAACACAAAACCCCATCTTATTTAATTTTACTTTTAAATGTTGCCCTTAAAACCACAAGTTACATATAATTGTACTCATGACAAAATGTAATCTGCATTAATAGACACAAATATTGGGAGAAGAAAAAAAAAGAAAATAAAGACTAATAAACATCTATGGATCCCATGTGATTTCTGAGAAACACATGAACCTTATTATGAAGATATTACCTACTACTCTTTTTAATCACTAATATTTGTAGAGACCATGATTTTTTAGTTAAAGGTAGAGAGCATAGCTATCACAAGTAAACCAATTAATCATACCAAAACACTGCATGGCAGTATGGCATAAGCTCAAGACACTGTATATTAAGATATTTAAGAACATGAAATCTTAGCCTATTGGTGGAACAATAACAAATTTAACATTTTTAAGGTTTATAATCCATCATATTCATTCAAAATTAAGTTAGGAATATTTATTCCAAAATTTTTTTCAGAAGACAGTCTATAACCCAGTCTAACAAAGAATAGTTAGCAGAATAGAGAATAATGGTCAGAGAACAAAGAATATTAGGTTAAATATGAACAGCTATGCAGTTTACCACTATAATGTACATGACACACATTATTATTGGGGAGAGGGTAACTGCTACTTTAACCTGGTTGTCCTGCTCCCATCTGGGGCTGCTGCAGCACTCGGATTCCAAACTGGACACAAAAGTGTGAGACTGGCTACTGGTACTAGAAGTACCAAGCGTGTTTCTGGATTGTAGCAGATTTGGAGTCAGATACTTCACTGGCATCCCAGGGTTTAAAACAGCAGTATCAAGACCTTGAAATCAAGAAATATTAAAAGTGCATGTACTTCAACACTAAAATTTAAAGTTTATGCTTATATTTCTTTTGCTCTAATATAACTGGACTTTCCCCTTTGCCTACAATCAACAGAATAAAATTATCTATGCTAGAAAGAGAACTATTTCCTATGTAACATTAACATTTAACCCAAAACAATACCATCTTTTTCTGCCAAACATACATATTGGTTACTACATGTACAATTTATAGACACATTAATGAAGACTGGTAAATTATTTAGAAGCTAAAATATAATAATGAAAACTCAAAGTTAAATCAAGAGTCTGTTAGTAGAGGCAAATGTTATTAGTCTAAAATCAAGACTAATCAACCAGTTTGTTTTGTCCTAAATCTCTCCTTCCTTTCTCAGCCAAACTCCTAGGCAAAGGGGTCCAAAGTTCACATCTCAATAGCCTTTCCCCTCACGCCACTGCAATCTGGCTTCCAATTTCATTATTTAACTGAAACTACTCTCTCCAAAGTCACCAATGATCTTTTAATTGCCAAATCCAATGACTTTTTCTTGATTGTCACCCTTGACTTCTCTGCATCCTTTGACACAACAGTGACACCGTCTTCTTGATACTCTCTCCTCTTGAGATTTTTGAGTCACTGATCTCCCTTGATTCTCTGAACTCCCATCCATCTGACCACTCCAATGCTCAGAAGATGCTGGATCTTCATTCAGGTCATCATTAAAGGTGGATATCTCTCCTCTGTTATGGGTCTTACTCTTTTCTCTCTATATACTATTTCATTTGGTGATGTTATCAGCTTCTACAGATTCAATTAATTATCTTCTCTAAGCAGATAATTCTCAGGTCTATTTTTCTAGCCCTAATCTCCTCTGACATTCAGTTTCACATCTCCAACCACGTATCAGACCTCTCAAACTGTAAGTCTCACAGACATCTCAAATTCAACACACCCAAAATTGAACTTTTTATCTTTACTCTAAAACCCTCCCCACTTCCTAACTTCCCTATTAGTGTCAAAGGCACCCAGGCTCTCAACCTAGGTACATATCATCCTGGACTCCTAAAGAATCTGCTGCCAAATCCTGTTGACACTACCTTCTCAAAATCTCTCCCTTCTTTTGTTTTTCCTCCAGTGTTTAAAGGCTCAAGTTCATTTTATTATCCTGTGCCTTGTTAATTTCTATGCCAATGTATTCTTAAAGACTTACTTATTTTTAACATCCTTTTTTTTTTTTAATTTTGAGGTCCAAATTCTCTCCTTCCCTCTAGTCTCTCCTCCATGCATTAAGAGAGAAGGAATATGATATCAATTAAACACATGAAGTCATGCGAAACATATTTCCACATTATCCATGTTCTAAAAATAAAATAAAGAAAAATAAAAGAAAATGGAAAAAGTATGCTCTAATCTGCACTCCTGTCAGTTCTCTTTCTGGAGGTTGATAGCATTTTTTCCATCATGAGTCCTTTGGAATTATCTTGGATCACTGTACTGATCAGAGCAGCTAAATCTTTTACAATATCACTGTACAATATTCTCCCGGTTCTGCTTAATTCACTTTGAATCAAGTTCATAAACACTTTTCCAGGTTCTTCTGAAACCATTGCCCTCATTATGCCTTATCGCACAATAGTATTCTATCACAATCATATATCACAACCTGTTCAGCCATTCCCCAACATATGGGCAACCCCTCAATTTCCAATTCTTTGCTACCACAAAAAGAACTGCCATAAATATTTTTGTACAAATAGGTCCTTTTTCCTTTTCTTTGATCTCTTTGAAATACAGACCTAATAGTAGTATTGCTGGGTCAAAGGGTATGCATAGCTTTATATATCTCTTTGGATATACTTCCAAGTTGTTCTCCAGAATGGATGGACCAATTCACAACTCCACCAACAGTGCATTAGTGTCCCAATTTTACCACATCCCCTATAGCACTTATCATTTTCCTTTTCTCCTATGTTCTGATAGGTGTGAGGTGGTACTTCAAAGTTGTTTTAATTTGTATTACTCTAATCAGTAGTGATTTAGAGCATTTATTCATATGACTATTAAAAGTTTTGATTTCTTCTTCTGAAAACTGCTTGTTCCTATCATCTGATCATTTAGCAACTGGAGAATGGCTCTTATTTTTATAAATTTGGCTCAGCTGCCTATATATTTGAGAAATGAGGCCTTTATCAGAGAAGCTTGCTTTAGCTATAAATTTTTTCCCCCAGGTTCTTGCTTTCCTTCAATTTTGGATGCACTAGGTTTGTTTGTGCAAAGCCTTTTTAATTTCATGTAATCAAAATATCCATTTTACTTCCCATGATCCTCTCTATCTCTTGTTTGGTTATAAACTCTTCCCTTACCCATAGATCTGACAGGTAAACTTTTCCATGCTTCTCTAATATGCTTGTAATCACCTTTTATATCTCAATTATTCACATACTTTATCTTAGTATATGGTGTGAGATGTTGGTCTATGCCTATGCCTACTTTCTGACAAACTGCTTTCTAGTTTTCCCAACAATTTTTGTCAAAAAGTGATTTTTTGCCCCAAAAGCTTGTTCTTTGGGTTCATCAAATCCAAGATTACTATAGTCATTACTACTGTATATTGCGTACCTAATTTATTCCTTTGATCCACCATTATTTTTCTTAGCCAGTACCAGATTATTTTGATGATTACTACTTTGTTTTTTTTGTTTTGGCTAGGCAATGGGGTTAAGTGACTTGCCCAAGGTCACACAGCTAGTAAGTGTTATGTGTCTGAGGCCACATTTGAACTCAGGTCCTCCTGAATCCAGGGCCGGTGTTCTATCCACTGAGCCACCTAGCTGCCCCAATAATTACTTCTTTGTAACATAGCTTGAAATGTGATGCTGCTAGGATACCTTTCTTCACATTTTTAAAAAAATTTCCCTAATATTCCTGACCTTTTGTTCCTCCAGATGAGTTCTACTATTTTGTCCAGCTCTATAAAATAATTATTTGGTGGTTTCATTGGTATAGCATTCAATAAGTAAATTAGGTAAAATTGTAATTTTTATTATATTGGCTTGGCCTGTCGATAAGCCATGAATATTTCTCTAATTGTCAGATCTACCTTTATTTGTGTGAAAAGTGCTTTGTAATTGTGTTCATATATAGTCCTGGTTTGTCTCAGCAAGTAGACTCAAGTATTTTATACTGTCTGTAGTTACTTTAAATGAAATTTCTCTCTTCTTGCTGGGTTTTGTTAGTAATACATAGAAATGCTGACAATTTGTGTAGGTTTATTTTATATTCTATAACTTTACTAAAGTTGCCAATTGTTTCAACTCATTTTTTCACTGATTCTCTAGGGTTCTCTGAGTATAACATCATACAGTTTGTAAAGAGCGATAATTTTGTTTCCTATTTGCCTATTCTTATTCCTTCAATTTCTTTTTCTTGTCTTATTCCTATAGCTAGCATTTCTAGTACAATACTGAATAATAATGGTGATAATGGACATCCTCGCTTCACTCGATATTACTGGGAAGGCTTCTAGTTTATCCTCAGTACAGATAATGCTTGCTTTTGGTTTTAGATAGATATTAATCTTTTTGAGAAAGGGTCCATTTATTCCTGTGCAAGTACTGTATTTTGTCAAAAGCTTTTTTTCTACATCTATTCACATAATTTTTGTTGTTGTTATTGATATAGTCAATTATGCTTATAGTTTTAATACTGAACCAGCCTAAATTCCTGGTCATACAATGTGATCTTTGTGATATATTGCTGTAATTGCCCTGCTAGTATTTTCTGAAAAAAATTTTTTGCGTCAATATTCATGAGGGAAATTGCCTATAGTTTTCCTTCTCTGTTTCTGCTTTCCTGGTTTAGGTATCAAAACCATATTTGTGTCACAGAAGGTATTTGGTAGAATTCCTTTAACCTATATTGTCAAATAGTTTACATAGTATTGCAATAATTGTTCTTCGAATGTTTGGCAGAATTCACTTTTAAATCCAATTTTTCTTTTCTTTTTCTGCCGTTGACACGTATTTATTATTTCATCAAGAATATAAAATGTTGTCTTATTGAGTGTTTCTCATCTTCCTTTCCAACTGACATTTATACTAATGGATTTTTTACTCTGCGAGAGGCGATACATCTCCTCTTTGAACAAAAATTCATTTCCTTAAGGCATCTTAAGGACCCAAAATACACACTACGTATGTAATTTTAAAAAAAGATTCAATAGTACCCTAAAACCTACTTATTCAAATATTTATCAGAACATGCTAAATCTACCCAATATATTTCATATAGAATTAGACATCACTATATTCAAAGATTTACTATCTGAAGTTTTTAAAATTTTATATGTTATATAAATATACTTACATATTATTTATAATATTTATATATATTATTTACTATATTTCCTGAAGACACAGCTTGATTCAGCATGAATTTGTCCTGAAGTTCTGGGCTTCTGGTTTTTATTTCCCCCAAGGCAACAAGCTAACAAGTACATTTTGTCGCTATCACATCTTCATATTCTTTATAAAATACAATCATCTGGCTCAATAGTTAAGACACTCAAGGGGCTGGAGATCTTTTCCCTAGGGTTTCTCCCTCCTTATATGTCCCCTTCTCACCTCTGACAGTGATGCCACCCCGATGTAGGTTATTTCCTCTAGCCTTCAGTCTCCTTGCCTCCACTCTTTTCCCGTCCATCCTCCATTCAGCTTCCACAGTGATCTTCCCAAAACGAAGTTCTGATTATTTTACTCTTTACTGGCCCCTTCTTACCTTCCCAGCCTTCTTCACCTTACTCCTTTCTAAACATTTCTATGATGCAGGGACACTTAGCCTCCTTACTGTTTCTAGTACAACACATGCCATATCACAAGTTTGTGCCTTTTCACTAGCCGTCCTTCACCACAGAGCGTCCACAAGTTCAGGCACACACTTGGCCAGTTAGTGCTCATAAATCTTTAAGGACATCTGAGAGCAGTAGACCTCAATGATAAGGATTAATGGCAGAGGTGAAGTTTTTTCACTATGTAAGCAAGAGCAATCTAAGATTGCATTGCTGGCAAAGACATATCACAAGCCTCACATGGATATGGGTATGTGTATCGGCATGGAAGAGGCTGGTACAAGACCAGAAGAAACCTTATAGACTCAAAGAGTATATCTTTCATCTAATAGTTTCTGAGAATAACATTCACACTACAAGTACTTGCTTCTAACCAAGATCCAGCTGCCTGTAATTCAGTTCTGCAATAATTCCTTTAATAAATCTCACCAGAATATACGTATCTGATCGTGCCTGAATTTTGCTTTTGCCTTTATGTGATGCAAGCATAATAATATTTACCATATAACTCTTCACTGAATGGACATTAGCTTTCAAATGTTGGGAACTGGGCAGGAAATCCTGATTACTTGCCCAATCCTTGGAATTAGCTCTACAAATCTACAACATGATTCGGTATAATAAATAGGCAACCATACCTTTTGTGGTTGTTTCACAATATATCTCACTATTTTTGAATGTATGAAAATACTGCTGTGATTAATAAAATACAAATCCATTTAGAGAAACCACTAAATTCACACAGAAATGTTTTCATGTATTTTCCTTAATTAATGGATACCAACAGTATGACTTCTATCACGCAGAAGTTCACGAAATTTCCTGACATAAAAAAAAAGGGTGACTATACCAAAAATGCTAGGAACCAATGGCACACCACCATAGTATGGTATCATTTGTTCAGTGGTCCCTCAAACACCTGCAGATTATGAGGCATCTTTCTTCTAACTATAAAAACACTATCAATTGTTGAGCTAATAAAGCTACCCCAATGCATATCAAAAAGGATATTTATATATATAATTTGACATAGCAGATTACTCTAAATATTCTCCAATATTTAAAATATTGTTCTTAATTGTGATCAGTGATTGGAGATTTTATCTTTTTATAAAGCTTTGCAAAGTAAACATTATTATTCAAAGAAAAGCATTTTTTATTTTAAACCATTCATTCAATAAATATTTATGTGCAAGATATTATAAGCCATAAATTATTTGCTTGATATATTTATACATACTCACACGATTGAAGGAGTTTACTTGAATATAGAGTATCATCCTTTTGATCTACAGACATAGGACAAGAAGAATCCTTAGAAAGCCGTGAAATTTCTGATACAGGGCTTGAAATAGCTTCAACTGTTTCTTGCATTTTCTCACCACTTGGTGTGTACTATTAAAAAAAACCCAAAACACAAAAAAACACCCTACTGTTGAAAATTCATTAAGCAGAACAATTAGAGTTAAATACACAAAACACTAAATTTGGCCAGAATTCCTAATGTACTTAAAATTTTATTTGTCCTAATTTTGACCAAATTTTTTAAAGTATGGTATAAAACCACTTAAAAATATTTAAATGTGTTTGGAAGGGGATGGGTTACACAGATCTTTGTAGTCAAACACTTACAAATCCCAGAGAGCTGATGAGAGATAAAACTTGTCCTGGAGTTCGTGAATAGTCCTGTCTGGGTTTAGGCATTGATGGTGTTGTAAGAATATCCAGCATATTAATCTCTAAATAAGTAAGAGGAAATACTGATATATTAATTCATTTAAAAATACTCATCTGTCACTAAGTCATTAGTCATTTCCTTGAAAAAGCCCAGCAGTAACAAGCCCTCTTAAAAATCTATTTTGCATTATAACAATGCACCAGCAGAAGTCAGTATATCATAAACAAAGAAAAGGAATATAATACTAGCCAACTATATCAATTTACTGAATAGTTAATATGATCAAGCTTTTCTTCTAAATGAATAATTAATCCAAACTGGAATTCTCAACTGGTTATTTGTGAATACCAGAGTCCTCAGTAACTAGGGAAAACTGCTAAACTATATGGAGAAGAATATTCCTTGGAATGTCATTTTATGCTATAATAATACTTCCTTAAATTATGACATTTATTGTCATTAGATGAATCACCATTATGACTCTGTAGGTAATAGGTTTTTCTACTTTTATTCATCCTTCACATTTATGAAATAGTACCAATGGATACAGAAACAATAATGGATGGTGTCCACCACCACCATCAAAAGGATTCTAAAGCAACATACTTTAATGGATTAATAATTTCTAAGGGACAAGTATTATCACCTAGACAGACCTAGAACTATTCAAGGAATTAGAATTCCAAGTGTCTTTCTCTGAACAAAGTTCATGGCCATCATTTATCAGTAATAATGAAATATCTACCTTTGGAGATATAAGATTAGGAGGTAAGCAATTTCCTCATGACTCATCTTTAGTGGAGGAAGATATCATTAGAACTTTCCACTACACCTTGGAGTGAATAATCATTGGGTTCCTCACAAGTGTCAACTAACAAAGAAAAAAGTCAAACAACAAAATATAACTAAAAATGTTTGTGTTTTTTTCTTAACTTACCAAATGTTTTCTTACCTCTATTCAAAGCAACCTTGGAAAGGCCAAAATCTGTCAGTTTAATATGGCCCTCATTAGAAATAAGCATATTATCTGGTTTCAAGTCCCTGCGTATTCAAAAAAAATTACACAATCTAAAGTTAGTTGGTAGGGAAAAGCTAGAGCGAACATACAAATCTCTTTAAGAAAACAGAAGGCAATTCATGGACATTGGGAAGGCCAGCTTCTCAAGATTTAAGTCTTCTCACCCTCTCCAAAATACATGCATTTTGCGCTCTACCTTTCTAAAATCCCATCTAAAAAAGCACTAGATAAATGATTAGATCTCAAAAACAATATATTCTCTATACTTGCCATTTTACATATCTAAGCTGGGAGAGAAGCCTACTGATGCCATCCTGAATATCAGGTCACAAAACAAGTTTACCTGTATGATCCTCCTCTTATCTCTCTAGAGGAGGCAAGAAGAGCAAAAACAAAGTTTAAAAAATTTGGAAATACAGGTGAGTTGATAAATAAGAAGACTGGTAAGGTTAAGAAAAGCCACTAAGATTAAAAGGTTCTGCTCTATCACACCTACCTCTCTAAAAACAACAGGCTAGCTAGGTTAGTGCAAGGCCCTGTTGGAGGCAGCAAAATCAAGCAGTCAATACCATTCCCAAAAATGCCATGCTATGACCCTAGCAACCTTTTTTTTAAATTTTTTTAAGGCAATTGGGGTTAAGTGACTTGCTCAGGGTCACACAGCTAATAAGTGTCAAGTGTTTGGTCTGAGGCCAAATTTGAATTCAGGTCCTCCTGACTTAAGGGCCAGTGCTCTATCACTGTGACATCTAGCTGCACCCCCTAATAAATTTTTCCAAAGCAGCAATGGAGGGAGTATTGCAGAACCGGTAATAACTTGAAGATAATGCAACAATGAAACAAATTCCCAAATTCAGCAAGCCTGCTACTGGACTTCAGTATTTCAGCATAAATGATCACATTATCAGTTAAATATTTAAAGATTAAAATTAAGTCAGTCTTTACCTGTGGATTATTCCATGTCTATGAAGGTAATCTAGAGCTAGTGCAACTTCAGAAATATATTTTACAGCCATTTCTTCATCAAAATAACCATATATATGTAAGAGAGATTTGACATCTCCACCGATTAGATATTCCATCACCTGTCACAAAAGCATTTATACATTTAAAGTAAAAATTATAGTTATTTTAAATACATTAACCATCTAGCATTATAATTTGCAATCTAATCAAAGTTTAATGTAACATTTAAAATTACATAATAGTACACTACAACATAACCACAAAACTAAATAACTAAAACATAGCCTATAAGAACCTTTGCTTTCCTCTACCAGGGGTGGGGAACCTGCAGCCTCGAGGTCAAATGTGGCTCTCTAGGTCGTCCGGTATGGTCCTTTGCCTGATTCCAAACTTCACAGAACATATCCCCTTAATAAAAAGATCTGTTGTGTAAAACTTAGACTCAGTCAAAAGGCCGCACCCAAGGACCTAGGAGGCCACAGGTTCCTCACCCCTGCTTCTCGACCAGTGCTTTTAAACTGTGGGTCTTGACTCACAGTTTCAGAAGTGCTGAAGGGGCTGCAAGTGGAAAAAGTTTAAGAAGTCCTGCTCTAGACAATGGGCTTCAAGCTTTTTTGATCACGTAGCCTCACATTGTATATTTACTTATTAAGCATGACATAAGAATAAAGAGTTGGTTACAGATTCTGGAAGACCTGGTTTCAGATTACCTCTGATATCTACTGACTGTGTGACCCTAGGTATGTCTCTTAACATCTTAATGCCACAGGTAACTCTCTAAGACTATAATTTACAGAGAAGAGAACAACCTTTATCAGTAAGAGTTTCTCTGTACAGAAGGATAAAATAAATCACAGGTCCAATCCCTATTTCTATAAGCTATAGAGATGTACTAATATACAAATAATTATGTACATTATCAAACTTATGCCAAAATAGAGATTTTTTAAACAATGAGATAAAGATGAAGTAATACTTGATCCTAGAGTTGATAAGGAGTCAATGGAGTTTAATGAGTAGGGGACTGATAAGGTCAAACCCCACTTTAGGAAATTCATTTTGACAGTTATGTGAAGGATTAATTGCAGAGACTTGTGGGGAAAAGACCAGTCAGGAGGCTCCTGCAATAGTACCGGAGAAAGATAATAGCGTTCTAAACTAGGGTAGTGGTTACATGAATAGAAAGAAGAGAACAGATGAAAGAGATTTTCAAGATAAACACGACATGATTTGGCAACTGATTACATATATATGATGAGGGAGAACAAGGAATCCTTTGAGGATGAAACTGTAGTTGGGACACTGGATGACTGGAATGGTGATGCCTCACAATAATAGGAAGATTCAAAAGATTTTGAGCATTTTGGAGGAAAGGCAACGTAAATATGTCTATGATGAAGACCAAAACTCATCCAAGTTTGCTTCTCTTGTGTGACTCACTCTGTTCCACTCAAAAGGAAAAGGTAGAAGGCCTTCTAGGAATACCTGCAGTAGCCACAAGGTAATCAGACAGGCAGTTTCTTCCCAGCAGAGCCTGAAGCTATTGTGCATGCTTAGGTTAACTGCCATAAGGGGCCAATGACAGGCTTGAAAGGGGGAACTTTGGAGCCTGAACAGCAGGAGAGCTCAGAGTGAAGTGAGGATGTGTTGGGAATAGGTATAGTTGTGTCGGAGAGAAGCCCCTTGATTGGCTATTGTGGGGAGGGTGAGATGCAATCCATCTTCCCACCCTCCAACTGGTTGATCATAATTTCCTTAGGGTCATGTGATAGTATTATCTTTGGAAACTTGGGGAATTGAGGGGATTAGGACAGCAAGAGGTTAATTGTGGGAACTAAGTAAACCACACTGACCATCTTGTGACTCAATTCTGTAGCTAATTCAGTTCCCTTTCTATTCAGTTATGAGTCTAGTTCAATTTCTATCTTGTGAGAAAACCTTATTCAATTGTAGGAACTGGGAGAAAACCTTAAAGTACTGTTTAAACCTAGCCCTGTGTGGCTGGGAAACTAGACCACCTGCTGTTTAGAGAGCCTTCTTAACTAAAGACCTAGCTAATGCTGACCACAGATTCAAAGACTGACACAAGGAGTTTTCTCACAATTGTACATCTCAAGTAACCCACGTATTTTATCTGAAAATTAGTCCCATATTGATTAATCAATTATTGTTTCCATATTCCTTTGACTGTTTACAGACACTTGGGGGGGGTGGAGGGGGACACCCTTTTCTGAATTCAGGGAATTGCACCTGTTTGCTCACCTACTCCCAACTTGGAAAAGACCCTAATCTTTCATCCCATTAGAAATTAGATTATCTAACGTTGTAGAGTTTCCTTTTAATTAACGACATATTTGATTAATTGTTTTTAACCTATAAAAGTCTGTCTCCTCCTGTATTCAGGCTCCAGTACCAAAGCTAAGAAATGCTACCGGTTGCGATTTCTTGGCAACCAGCATGCATTGCTTAATAAATTGATAAGCTTGGAAGCTCAAACTTTTGTTCCCTCACTCATTTTATCTTTCGTCACCACAAAACTACTAATCTAGACCTCCAGTCCCAAATGATGGACTAACCTTTCTGAATCCATACTACTCTTCTCATAAATTCAAACTTAACATGGCCCTAAAGAAAAGAAAAGGCAATGTACCTCTCTCCTTCTTTGCAGAGGTAGGAAACAAAAAGTGTGGAACACTGTAGATATTGTCAGACTCAGGTGATATATTGAATAGGTTTTTTTCTGCTGAACTGTTTTTTTCCCTTTATTTATACACAATATCCCAAGTTCAAGCAATTAAAACTTAAAAGCTTGGGACACCCAATAAATAGTTTGAAATGAAAACAACAAACAAAAGGTTATCAACAGAAATTTTAAAATATAACAAGTATAAGCTTAACAACATCGTTTCATCTCCAGAACAAATTTCTCACTTGAAACAGATAATTTACCAACTAAAATATAAACTTCTTAATGACAGGGACTGTATCTTAAACTCTGTATCTCCTCTAGTATACATTTGCATACAGTAGGCATTTTATTCATACACACACACACACACACACACACACACACATATATAATCCCATCACTAAAATGCAACTCACAAATAATAGTTTCAGAGTTCCACAGAAGTTCACATAATAATAAAAAATCTCCATTCGAGATTGTATTCTCTTAAAGGACTAGAATCCTCCCCACCCCCATTTCTGTATTCCCTAGTATCTAGGACAGTGCTTGGAGTATAGCAGGCACTAAGCAATTGCTTGTTGACTTAATTGCATAATATCCTCATGCTCTTGCCTGGAATTCCCTATTTTGACAAAATCAATTGGGCCACATAACCTGCCTTTTTAATACTCACTATTCCTGGTTATCCAGATCACTCTCCAAACTTCTAGTGGAACAGAATCATGGTTCAGTGGTGTGAAACATTAATGGGGGAGAATACTGCACATTTAGAATCAAGTATGCTATAGAAGGGATCAGTCCTTTGGAGCTGAAAGTTTACAATGAACATCCAAGAATCATATATTCTAAAAGTCCACCAAAAAAAAAAGGAAGTCATGTAATCACACCAAATCTGAAGTCATTATCAATTTTTTCCCAGTATATCCATCAATTAATCAATAAGCATTTAATAAGCACCTATGAGATGCCCAGTACAATGCTAGTAGTAGGATATAAAAACTGATATAAATAACTGGAGACAGAAAGGCAAAAAATGAAACAGTTCTTGCCTACAAGCATTGATTCTATCAAGAAAGATAAAAGATGTATCTATCAACATATGAAGAGTACACAGCTAGCATTCATGTAGTGCTTTGTGGAGGAAACTTAGCTGCAGCAGCTAAGAGGGGTAGGAATCAGCAAAGGCTTCTTGTCAAAGATGTCACGTGAGCTGAGTTGTGAAGAAAAAAAAGGAATTCTAAGACAGAACTGAGGAGAAAATTCATTCCAGACTTGGAGACTGGATATGAAAACAGCACGAAGGCTCTTTTGGCTGGATTGCAGAAGGGAAGTAATGTGTAATGGGGCTAGAGTTAAAATCTGGTGGCAGACATTTTAGCAGCAGCATAACCCTGAGCAAGTCACTTAACATCCATCTGCCTCTGTTTTCTGATCTTTAAAATGGGAATAATAATAGCATCCGTCTCCTAGGGTTGCTGTAAAGATAAAATAAGTTAATGTCTATAAAGCACTTTACAAACCTTAAAGCACTATTATTGTTACTTATTTTGTTAAAGATAATAGAGAGCCACAGGAGTTTAGTAGGAGATTAACATGGTCAGGACTGCACTTTGGTGGCTGGGCTCTCCCATTTTTCCCATCCCAACTTTCAGCTCTCTACTAACTCAAACTTTTTATCTCCTCAGCCCATTTGTATGATTATAAATTGGCCAGTTATATTCCACTTGTAGGGAAAACATGACTGTTAGACTTGCTTACATGTTCAAGGTCTAACTCTCCCCTTGTATGTACAAGCAGTAAAAATGCCTTGGCTAAACAAAAGCAAAACAAAAAGCAGAGTGCTGAATATAAACTTCAACATTTCTATATTAAAATGTTCGTGTCTGTTGATATTTAGACTCATTAAAAACATAAAAAACAAAACCCTACAAGTTTATTTTGGATCTGCTGAGTTTGAGACATCTCTGGGATATATGATGCCCAAAGGCAGTTAGTGAGGTAGAACGAGAGCTCAAGAGAAACTAAGGCTGGAAATAAAGATCTAAGTACCATCTGCAGAGAGAATAAGAACTGAACCCATCCAAGCAGGAGAGATCACCGAGTGAGACAACATAAAGAGAAAATGACCTAGCATAAAGCCTTTGGGTATGCCCACCCACAGGTAGAGACTCTGATATGGATGATGACATACCAAGAAAGACTGAAGTGGTGGGACAGGCAGGGAGGAAACCAGCAAAACCCTGGGAGAAGGGAGGATGAGGAATGAGCAATGGACCTGGTAACTACTTTAAGAATATATGGACCATCAACTCCATCTACCTTTATCTACTAACACACATACTATCATAAATTTCCTCAAAATCATTGGGAAGGATGGCACTGCTCTTAATGAAATACCAATGCTGCGTCATTTTTATTAAGTACCACAATTCATTCATTCATTCCAGAAATAAAAGAACTGTGACACAGTAGTATGATATCCTCAAAAATTACTTTAAAAATCACTGCCATCCGAGAGGCAGAGCCAAGATGACAGAGCAAAGGCAGGGATTCACCTGAGCTCTCCCCAAAAACCCCTCCAAATACCTTTAAAAAATTACTCTAAACAAATTCTAGAGCAGCAGAACCCACAAAAAGGAGTGAAACAAATTTCCAGCCCAAGACAAGTTGGAAAGTCAGCAGAAAGGTCTGTTGCACCAGGAAGAGAAGACAGCAGTCTAGCACAGGCCCGGCTAGTGCAGACTGGGCCCCAGCAAAGCTGAAGCAGGCCTTGGGGGTGACCAAATTACTCACAGCAGTGGTGGTTTCCAGACCTCTCAGCCCACAGAAGCCAAAGACAACTTAGAAGGTCAGCAGGAAAGGTCTGTCAGACCTGGGTGAGAGAGCAGCACAGTCCAGGGCAGGACGTGACAACACAGTCCCGGCCCCAGCAAACCAGGATCAGGCCTTGGGAGTGACTGAATCAGTAGTGACAAGAGCAACAGCTGCTTTTGGAGCTCTGGGCCCACAATTGGTAAGGGGGTTGAACAACTGGTCCGAAGGAGATTACAGGGGTCTTTTTGCTAGCACTGAGGCAGGACTCTGTTGCTTTGCCTATACTCAGATCAAGGTCCTGGGTGGTAGTACCAGGGCGAGAAGGAACACTAGCATAGCAGATCTTGTGGACACAGTAGAAGGGGGGACCCTCCTCACAGTTTCAGGGCAGAAGTGAGTGCTTGCATTCTCTCACAGACCAGAGCACAAGCCAGGAGAGCAGTAAACACCTCTCCTTAGATCATACCACCTTGGAAGAACTGAAAACTTACAGATCCCTAGAAGTAGCTCTAAAAACAGACCCCCTGAAACTTGGGACAGTGTACCCTCTACCCTGGAAGCAGAGCCCTACTTTAACAAAGACTTAAAAGCCTACTAATAAGCTAGGAAAATGAGCAAACAATGGAAAAAACATCTGACTATTGAAAGTTACTATGACCCAGCGAAAATGAGCAAGATCTTTCAGGGGAGGAGATGGATATTCAATGAAACAGGTGACTTCCATACCTTCCTGATAAAAAGACCAGAGCTCAACAGAAAATCTGATCCTTAAATACAAGACTCAAGAGAGACATAAAAAGATCGCCAGTCACAGCGGCTATGTGCAAGCTCACTGGAAGAGATTTGAAAAAGATGTAAACAAAGCAAAAAGAAAGATTAAAAAAAGAGCAAATAAAGCTGCACCTGAAATCAATACCATCATTGATGAGTCAATTTATCAAACAGAACGTAGTGGCATCCAACAGATTTGTGGGAGGCTTCGTGCTAGGCCTTACATCTTAAGGACATGGATGTTGCTGTTTTGATGGATTAATTAACAACAAAAACATTGGTGACAATGTGCTCTCTTGCAAAGTAGTACCAGTCACCAGATTCTTCTGGGCAAGAAGACTAACTAGTGGGACAACTCTGAAACTTATACTTTTAGGCTTTTGCCTTCTGAAGCTTGGCAAACTAGGATTTGCTAACAAACAAATAAATAAATAAACGAACTGTGTAGTATATTATCACATCTCTGGACAAAACCTGGCTAACTTTCATCATGACTTTTTAATCCTGTATCTATTCAGAAATTACCATTTTTAATTGGTATAGATATATAATTGTCCTGGGAAAAGAACCTTTTGTTTGACATTTTCCCCACTGAATTGCTATTTTTTCTTCATTTAAAAAAGCATTCTCTATTGTGCTGTAAATAGTGTCAATAATTAAGTAATATGTGTTATAGTTTGAATATCAACAGATAAAAAAATCTGTTTGCAATAAATTGTAGAACTGTAATGTACTTTTATGGAAGGATTAGAAAATATTTATTAGAGATATTAAAAACAAATTTAAAAAAAAGAAAGTTACTATGGTGACAAGGAAGATCAAAACAGATACTCAGAAGACAACAAAGTCAAAGCTCCTATATCCAAAGCCTCCAAGAAAAATATGAATTGGTATCAGGCCATAGAACAGCTCAAAAAGGATTTTGAAAATCAAATAAGAGAGGGAGAGGAAAAACTGGGAAGAAAAATAAGAGTGATGCAAGAAAATCACGAAAAACAAGTCAACAGCTTGCTAAAGGAGGCACAAAAAAATACTGAGGAAAATAATACCTTAAAAAACAGACTAAGCTAAATGGTAGAAGAGGTCCAAAAAGCCAATGAGGAAAAGAATGCCTTAAAAAGCAGAATTGGCCAAATGGAAAAGGAGGTCCAAAGGCTCACTGAAAAAAATAATTCCTTGAAAATTAGAATGGAGCAAATGGAAGCTAATGACTTTATGAGAAATCAAGATATTGTAAAACAAAACCAAAAGAATGAAAAAATAGAAGACAATGTGGAATATCTCAGTGGAAAAACAACTGACCTGGAAAACAGATCCCAGGAGAAAGAATTTTAAAATTATTGGACTACCTGAAAGCCATGATCAAAAAAAGAGCCTAGACATCATCTTTCTAAAATCACTGCCATCTCCTACTGCTGTCTCTTAAAACTCATATAACATAGAACACCTCCACCTTTTTTTTTTAACTACAAGGGATAAACATTGGCTACCCACACCCTTATTTTACTAATAAAAACGTTTCAAGTTCTTTACTCACCAAGTAGACATTGCTGGCTGACTGTAGTGAATAGTACAAATGCACAATAAAGGGACTCTTGCTGAGTGCCAGTGCATCCCTCTCAGCTTGGACTTGATGAGTCATGTTTTTGTTGATCATATCTGCTTTTTTGACAACCTATAAAAAGAACCATAAAACTTAGTAGACATAATTTTTCAATTATAAGATGTTTTTATATTCAGACATGTATATGTTACCTGACAAAGACCAATCTAAATACTTTAAGGGTGCAACTGAAACTATGGCATATTAGTAACATGGAAGCCTCAGGTCTGTCCTAGCTTTACTGTCACCTGTGAAACCTCTCACATGTCTTAAATTCTGGAACAGTAGAGCCAATTAGCTATTGCTTACTTCAGAGAACTGTTATAGGAAAGGGACAGAGGTAGGACAGTCAGTTCCATAGAAGAAAGTCTGAACAGCCACAAGGGAATCAAATGTTCCAAGAAAACAGAGTTTTCATCAAGGGATGGCAATAGACAGAGGCAACAGGTCAGTAGCAAGGAATTTTTGGGCCAAGCTAGGAGCTGTAGAAACTAGAGCTAACAGCAGTTACAAATCAAGAGAATAGTTTTTAGACCAAGCATTCTAGAAATAGTCAACTATTTATTATCCCTAAATACTTTCCCCCTTGGAAGGGAGATCCCTCCAAGGACAGAAAGAATCTGGAGAACTGTATGAGATGCTGGGAGCATGGGACTCACCCAAAGTACTTTCTCTTCCTACTTAGTTGGATTAGCATGGGTAAAAAGAGACACCAAAGGCCCTACTGTAAATACAAAGAAATATAATGGTGGCTAGAAAGGAAATCTAAATGGAGAAAAAAAATTAGTTGTCTTGACATTTATGAGCTTGGATTTGACTCTTTCAGTTTTTTTATCCAATTAAATAGAATACGTGGTATTTAAAATACATAAGAATAAAGAAGTGATGTTCAAATCTGGTTTAATCTTTCAGGTAGAAAGGTAAAATACTAGAGATAATACAATTAGGACGTTGTTTTCCTACTAGCTACATACAGTTCCTTATTAATCAAGAGAATATATTCTCTATAGGTAAAGATAACACTTCCATTTTATTTTTTAAAAATATTTTTACCAAGAGAACGTTGTATACAATAACAGCCATGCTGTGCAATGACTAATATTGATCAACTTAATCCTTCCCAGCAATACAAGGCTCTAAGATACCTCCAAAGGCCTCATGATGGAAAATGCTATCCACGTCCCAAGAAAGAACTATGGAGTTTGAATGCAGATCAAAGCATACTATTTGCTATTTTTTTTTTCTGTTGAGTTTTGTTTCCTCTTTCTGGTGGTTCCTCCTATTGGTTCTAATTCTTACTTACAATATCAGTAATGGGAAAATATGTTTAATAGGAATGTATATGTATAGCCTATATCAGATTGTGTGCCGTCTTGGGGAGGGTGATGGGAAGGAAAGGGAAGAAAAATTTTAAACTCAAAAGCATATGGAAGTGACTGTTGATAAATCTAAATAAATTAATAAAAAAAGAAAAAAATTTTAAATGTATCATTTATAACAATCTTTTCTTTTTAAATTTTGAGTTCCAAATTCTCTCTCTTCCTCCTAACTCTTCCCCACCCACTTAGACAGTAAGCAATATGATATCAACATGAGTGATCATTCAAAACATATTTCCATATTAACCATATTTTTTTTAAAAGCAAGAAAAATAAAGTGAGGAAATTATACTTCAATTTGCACTCAGAGTTCAATTCTCTCTCTGGAGGTGGATAGCATTTTTTCATCCTGAGTCCTTCGGAACTGTCTTGGGTCATAGTATTGGTCAGAGTAGCTAAATCTTTCACAGTTGATCATTACAACACTGCTGTTACTGTGCACAATGATCTCCAGGTCCATCTCACTTCACTCTGCATTAGTTCATATAGGTCTCGCCATGTTTTTCTGAAACCACCCTCTCTTGTCATTTCCCATGGCACAATAGTACTCCATCACAATCCTATGCCAAAACTTTTCAGTCTTTGCCCAATTGATGCGCATCCCCTTGATTTCAAATTCTTTGCCACCACAAAAAGAGCTGATGAAAATATTTTCTGTACATATAGGTCCTTTTCCTTTTTCTTTGACCTCTTGATCTTGAGATACAGACCTAGTAGTGGCATAGCACTGTTTTACAGCTCTTTGGGCTCAGTTCCAAATTGTTCTCTAGAATGGTAGGACCAGTTCACTTCTCCATAACAGTTCATGATTGTACCCATTCTCTCCTCTTCCCTGTCATTCTGATAGGTTTCTAGTGGTACCAGAGTTGTTTCAATTTACCTTTTTCTAATCAATAGTGATTTTTCATGACTATAGATAGCTTTGATTTCTTCTGAAAACTGCCAATTTCTATCCTTTGGTCACTTATTAATTGGGGAATGGCTTCCATTTTTATAAATTTAACTTGGTTCTATACTCATTATTTGGGAAATAAGACCTTTATCAGAGAAACTTGCTGTAAAAATTTTTGATATTACTTCATTGTCTATGGTACCTTTTAGCAAAATGTAGTTTCCCTGATTATCCCTTTTAATTAGATCTATTTTTGCTTTCTCTGAGATCATAATTGCAATCCCTGCCTTTTTTTTAAAGTTCAGCTGAAGCATATTAAATTATATTCCAGTCCTTTATTTTAACTGTGTGTCTTTCTCTTTCGAGTGTACCTCTCATAAAACATATCATTGGATTCCAGTTCCTAATCCATTCTCCTATCCACTTCTGTTTTATGGGTGAGCTCACCCCATTCACTTCACTGTTATGATTTACTAATTGCGTATTTCCTTCTATCCCATCTTCTGTTTCTTCTTTCCTTTTATTCTTTACCGCCTCAAAAGTCTATTTTTTTCCCCCAGTGCATATTTCCACCTCTTTTACCATTAGGCCAATTCTGTTTTTTAAGGGGTTTTTCTTCAGTATTTTTGGTGCCTCTTACCAAGCTGTTAATTCTTTTTTCACAATTTTCTTGCATTATTCTCACATCTTTTCCCAATTTTTCCTCTACCACTCTTATCTCTTTAACTCTTCCAGGAATTCTTGTTGGGCTTGGGTCCAATTAGCATTTTTCTTTGATGCTTTGTTTGTAGCTATTCTCACATTGTTGACTTCTTCTGAGTTTATATCTTGGTCTTCTCACAACTGCATATTCAAAAAATATGTCATCTGTATTTTTTAAAAGTACTTACAAGGAGATAGGGCTGAATCTTAAACTTGGATTCAAACCTTCATTTTTCAACACTTACTTGCTGTGTGACCTTGGCCAAGTCACAACTCTTGAGCTCCAGGCAACTAACAGACTAGAAAGACAGATGGACACCAGCAAACTCATAATTCTTTGATATAATACAGTGAGAATGAGAGACAATATGATGGTCAGTTTAAATAGGGGAGAGGACAGGTAAGGGTATCAATAAACACACATAAATTTCAATTTATCTCTAGTAAATAGTTTTCAGCAGGAAAGGTAAAAAAAGCCTAGTAACATAATTTTAGCACTTCTTAATGAGTACCTGTTGCATATAAATTTGTCTCATTCCTTTTAATAATCTTTCACAAGTATCAATTATATTCACAATTTAAATTCAGAAATAATCTTCACTAACCAGCAAGTCTTTTATTTCTATAAAAAGTAAAAGATTAAGAAAAAGATGGCTGCAAGATGAGTAGCCCAAGTAATATTAATGATTAGAAGAGGAATGTGGATTTTGATTGATGAAGAACATGTCATTGTGGTTTCCGTGGTACAACTGGATTATGTGAAGTAAAATAGCTATGACTGTTTCTCAGGAAATGACATTCTAAAACAAACTGGTAAATGTCAATCTCCGAAACAGATAACAAGGATGTGCCTTTTAAAAAAAATCGTAGTAATTATTATAATACCATGATAATATTTAAGCTAGAATGGCCTTCTTGTTGTTGCCGAAACTTAAAATTTCATCTCTTGCCAAAGTAACTTTGCACAGGCTGACCCTCATACCAGGAATGTAGGGTCCTCAGGAGCAGGGACTATTTTTTGCCTTTCTGTGTATATATATACCCAATGCTTAGCATAGTTTTTGGCACATGGTAAGGGATTAATAAATACTTTGTGACTGAAAGCAATGTAATGGCTCGAAACTACCTCTATACACTCAGATTCCTTCAAAGCCCACCTGAGGCACCATCTCTTAGGCTAAGCTCTTCCTGTTTTTCTTCCTCAAATTATCTTGTATTTACTTATCTGTATACAGACTGTATTCCCAGGAAAGTGTAAGGTCCTTGGAAGCAGGTACCATTTTTGTTTTGTTTGTGTATTCCCAATGCCAGCATGGTGTGTTGCACAAAGTAGACACTTAAAAGCTTACTGAATTTAATACTACAATGGTTCTGTGACTCCAATGATATGGGCATTCCTTTGGTAAAGCAGAAGAGTACAACCACTGATGCATGGCCACAGTGTCTGATTCCTGTGTACAGGTCTCCTAAGTTCCCCACAGGGTCCATCTAACAACGTCCTTAATAAAAGGCCAATGGAATACACAAGCTGTCCATCCCCCCTGCTCACCACAAGATCCGCCCATCTTCAGTTTGGTCAGACATCTCCAGGATGACATCCTTCACTACAGCTATTCTTCAAAGTTCCTTGTTTGTAATGTGTTGCAGTCTGCTTACGCCCACCATGAGCCTCTTCATCATCGTCGTAGCTAACACTTATACATATGCCTCTAAGGCTTTCAAAGCGATTTACGCTTTCAAAGCGATTTACAAACATCTCATTTAATCCTCAGAACAATCTTAGCAGGTAGGTGCTATAATTAACCTTATTTTACAGATGAAGAAACTGAGGCTGAAAACTTCTAAGTGACTCGCCCCTCATTTCACAGATGAGGAAAGGACCTCTTCAGGGTCTGCTCCAGTAAAATGTTATGAGCTGGGTCCACCCTAATTCCAGGGAGCCAGCCGTACGCCACCCCCGCCACCCCACCCCCCAGCCTCACCTTCAAGGCGCACATCATCCGCACAACACCCCGCCCTCTCTTCACGGCGCACGTGACCCCCAACACCCCCTCTTCACGGCACACATCACCCCCCCAACACCCTGCCCCCCCTTCACGACTTACATCACCACCCCGCCCCCTCCCCACCCTTCTCCCGTCGGCTCACCTTCACGGCGTACAATTTGCCGCTCTTCCGTGCCAGATACACTTTCCCGAAGGCCCCGCGGCTGATGGGCTTCATGATGGCGAACTCCTCAATTGAGGGGGGCCTCGGCACCGTGATCTGCTTCACCGGTGCCTCCGAGGCGTCACCGCCGTCGCCGCCGCCTGCAGATGAGGCTCGCCCGGCCGAAGCGCTCGGCGTCTCGCCGCCCTCCGATTCCGCGCTGCGGCCGCTCGCCAACTCCATTTTGGGCCTCCCGGCCAGCCCACAGCCCACAGCTAACTTCCAGAAGCTGCCACTCCCGCCCCTCAGTTTCAAAGCAAAACCCCGCCCCGCCATCCGCTTACGTACAGGGCATGTGTGACGTCATCACGCATCGTTTCGCTGAGCGCCCGGGCGTGCGGGGGCCGCCGTCCGCCCTGTGACGTAGTGACGCCGGCTTCTGGGGGCGGAAAAATTGATGACGCTACTGCCGGGGAGAACGATTTCCCTTCTCCCCCCCTCCCTACCTCCCCGCTTTTCACCACCTCCACACCCGTCCCGAACCCTGGAGGAAGGGTCTGCTCCAACCTCGGCCTCTGCCAACTTCATGTGTCCCGCTTCCCTTCTCTCCCCCATATATTTTTGAGGATAAAGAACACTTAGTAGACTTTTTTGTGTTTTTTTAAACAATACTTTTTGCTTATTTAGTCATTTCTCTAAATACCAGTAAGTCAGCCAGCATTTATCGTTATACCAAGCCCTACCCTGGTAAAAGCAGTTCGGTCCCCCTGGAGTGTATGTCAGACAGCACATGACGCATATGGCACCCAATGAGGGAAGGGAAACCAAGTCACCAAATTAAGTGGTGTTAAGTGGTTAAAGAGGAGGAAAGTCAAGTCACCAAATTAATGGATGGTGAGTAGTTAAATGAAGCAGCTAGGTGGATCAGTGGATAGAGCACCAGGCTGGAGTCAGGAAGAAGTGTGAATTGAAATGTGGCCTCAGACACTCACCAGCTGTGTGACCCTGGACAAGTCATTTATCCTCTGTTTGCCTTAATCCACTGGAGAAGGAAATGGCAAACTACTCCAGTGTCTTTACCAAAAAAAACAACCCCCAATGGGATCACGAAGAGGAGGTCTTGAACAACAAAGTTAAATGGGACTGGGGGGGGGAATGCAACCAGAGAAGAGACTCCCCTAAACTCTTACTACAGTATTTTTTCTTTAGTTTCTTCCAGCTTTGTAGATCCCTAGTGAGGACAAATCCTTTACCTCCAATTTTAGATAGCATTGAATGTTAAGGTTTTTTTCTTAAATTAATCCTAAATCTACCACTTTGCAACTTTTACCCTTTTCTCCTAGCTCCGCTCTCTGAACCAAACAAATAAACTGCTTTTCCATTCTTCAGCTACTTGGATGTACATGTTTTTTGAGTTGAAGGCTGAGAGAAAAAAGAAGTGGAAATGGCCTGGCACAGAACCTGGTGGGAATGCCCCCAGTTAAAGGGCTTTAGGAAAAGGCTGTTGAAGAGTAGACATGCTAGCCCAGTATTAATGAGGTCAAGGGAGGAGTGAGTATCCAGTAGAAGGCAGTGGTCGACCGTTCAAATGCTACAGAAAGGTCAAGGATAATGAAGATTAAAAAAGGAAAAGAAAAGAAAAATTCATTGGCAATCAAGAGGTGTCTCCAAGGAAACAGTTTAATTAAAGTATTAAGGATAGATAACAAGGTTTAAAGCACAGCTTAAATAGAAATTTTTTCATATGGGGCAAAAGCAGTGAGTAGGAGCAATACCAGTTGAGTTGAGAGAGTTGAGAGAAAGACAGGGTCGGAGAGTAGTGTCCCAGTGATGGATCCCAGTGGGATATAGCCCAAGGCAAGGTGAAGGATCAGGGTCGGGGTACAAGCCAGTCAAGGACTGTGCTGCATGGATCAACACCGGCAGGAAATACTCCACTGCCTTCCTCCCCCCAGGTCATAAGTACCATATTCTTATGTTAATACCCTGGTTAAAAAAAATCTTGATTTCCCAACCTGCCCTAGTTATGGCTCTGAGTTGAGGGATGAATGGTTGGTAAGGAAGTTGGTTTGGAAACTAGACTAAAATGGACTATAATTTCTACAAGTTTATCAGGAAAAGGTAAGAGATGACATAGGGTGATAGTTGAGAAAATGAGGTTCTGAGGCCCAATTCTGCCACTTACTAGTGTGACTTTGGGCAAGTCATTTAATCACTGAGCCTCAGTTTTCTCTTCTGTAAAATGAATGTTAAAATAATTATGTTTCAATTAATAAAATTAAAAAAAAATAAAAAGCTACCCCATCTCTAAAAATAATAATAATTATTATTATTATATTTCCACATTTCACAGTATTGTGAAAAAATGTGCTTTGTAACCTTTATAGCTATATGTGTTAATATATAGTTATGTAAATATGAACTATTTATATATGTTTATAAACATAAATCTACATAACTATATTTGAAAGGCTTCAAATTTTACCAGAGGAATTATTTCTCTCTGTGTCTGAGGACCAGCTTAGTTAAATTCAGAGGCTTATCTATCCAAACCAGAGGGTTTACCCTGAAGTAATGAGGTTTTTTTTGGATTGTAACTTATTAATCATCTAACAAACCTTGAAGCGATTATGTAAGATTAGGGTGAATGCCCTATAATGAATGCATGGATCTTTGAAGTGCCTGAGAATGTTCAGTAAAACACTTGATGGACAGTTTTACCTCTCTGTAAAGGGCCTTGATTCTATTGAAGACCTGGACTGTGAAAAAACTGGAATAGGAATCAGTTGTTCATCCTGGAGTACGGGCTTTCTAGCATGCTGCAATCTTCAACATGATAAAAGACTTGAATGAATAGATAACTTATTTTCAAGGATTGACTCTCAGAGTTTCCCCGAGAGGAATACCTAACAAAAGTAGTTTCCTCATCTTAAAATGAAATTGAATTAGATCACTAAGATTCATTCACTGGGCCCGCTGATTTCCACCATCTGCTGCCCAGGCCAGGATCTCATTTACCTTGTTGCCTGGGACTGAAGCAGAGCTGATGGGGCATCTCTTTCCCAAATCTTCCCTACTTTCCTCAAGACTTCTAAATATCCGCTTTCTCTTTCTTACTGTACTGAGAAAACTGAACTCCCTTTTCTTCTCTTTTTTTTAAAGTTTAATCAGTATTAACACTTCCTTAAATCTAGACAATGAGCAAGACAATAAATCAAGCCCTGATTTGTAGTGTTTTGTGGTTCCTAAAGTATAAATGCTCACATTAAACTTTTAACAATGACTCTCAAGTTGGTTAGAGCTGGCTTTAGCACACTTCTACTTCTTCTCACTCAGTTGTGAACTTATCCCTATAAGGTGTTTTTTTTTAAGGCTTTGAATAATTAGATCTATTTTTGATATATTTTTGTAATATTTTATTATTAGTGATTGTGAATTTTTTTCAAATGGATATAGATAATTTGTTTTCCTTTTAAAACTGCTCATATTCTTTGACTATCTTTTGAGGAATAGCTTTTCCTATAAAAATTTCTGTCAATTTGACATACAGTAAGTTAAAATTTTATCCACTCATTTTTATTGTTATGCATTTTTTAGTTAATTAATTTATTTTTAGTTTTCAACATTCACTTCCACAAGCTTTTGAGTTTTAAATTTTCACCCCTTCCCTTGCCACTTCCCCCCTCAAGATGGTGTGCAATCTGATATAGGCTTAAATATATTTTCATATTAGTCATGTTGGAAAGAAGAATTAGAAGCAATAGGAGGAACCATAAGAAAGAAGAAATAAAATAAAACAGAAGAAAAAAAGAGCAAATAATATCTGCAGTATGCATTCAGACTCCATAGTTCTTTCTCTAGATGTGGATAGCATTTTCCATCATGAGACTTTTGGAAACGTCTTAGATCGTGGCATTGCTGAGAAGAGGTAAGTCTATCATTTCATATTACAATGTGGTTGTTACAGTGTACATCGTTCTCCTGGTTCTGCTCACTTCACTCAGCATCAGTTCCTGTAAGTCTTTCCAAGTTTTTCTGAAGTCTGCTTGCTCATCATTTCTTGTGGCACAATAGAATTCCATTGCATTCATATACCACAGCTTGTTCAGCCATTCCCCAATTGATGGGCATCCCCTCAATTTCTAATTCCTTGGCCACCATAGAAAGAGCTGCTGTGCATATTTTTGTACATGTGGGTCTTTCCCGCATTTTTATGATCTCTTTGGGATACAGCCCTAGACGTGGTATTGCTAGATCAAAGGGTGTGCACATTTTTATAGCCCTTTGGGCACTTCCCTTCTTTTAATTTTACAGCCCTTTACATCATCTCCCATTCTCTTCTTTCCTTCAATCTCTTCTTCAAAGGCCAGTTCTTCTTCATGTGCTTTTGATTTCGTCCTGTCTTCTGCAGAAGATTGCATGACCTTGATCATCTTCTGCCTCTAAACTTCAACCTCTCCTCATCCAGTGGTTCCTTTCTGACTGCCCCCCACCTCCTCCCCTCCCCGCCAGGCCCAAGTCTTCCCTAGCCTTATATATAGCACCCCACCTAGGAGGCTTTGGCAGGCCTCTGAAGGACAGACTTGTGACACTGCATACTGTGTACCTGAGGAAGGGGTGACTCCAGATTGGCTAAGAGACTTCTGGGAGAGAGAAACAGAGGAAGTAATGAAATGTTTAAGGAGCTGTGTTAGTTCCTAGAGATTCAAGGACTTAAAAAAATAGTTCCTATTCTGTGTGGGACAGTGACCCCAACCCAAATTAAACTGAGAGACCTCATGGTGGAAAGTAAAGGTTACCTTTGGGGAGAGAGAGAGAGAGAGAGAGAGAGAAGAGAGAGAGAGAGAGAGACAGACAGACAGACAGACAGACAGAGTAACAGGGGCCGCCTTATGAAAGCAAACAAGCCTCCACCCACCAAGCAAACAAGTTTCCACCCACCACTATCCCTTACCCCCTTACCTGGGGGTGGGCTTACATTCTAAGTTCGAAATTCAAAGACAAGGAAAGAGGCAGGGTGGGGCAGAGCTTATTCTTTCTGCTAAGTGCTTAAAAACAGGGTTTAAGTGGGGGAGGATTTTGCAAGTAATAATCAATAATTATTTGACCCTTTGAGGAGCCTTCACTTCTGAGAGTTCATTTCTCACACTACCTTCTGAACTCATTACCTTAATTACACTGAGAAGTCTTCACTGGGACATCCCATTCAGTTCCAAATGGTGTAGCATCTAAATTTTAAAGGAGAACTTAAATGAGGAGGAGGAGGAAATAGACAAAACTATACAGTAGGGGACCTCAAGTTTCCCCTCTCAGAACTAGATAAATCTAACCATAAAATAAATAAGAAAGAA